AAAAGAATCAACTTTGTGATTTACTGCTACAATTAATAATTGTCTCAGTAAATGCCCAAACCCTACAGAACTGGTGCCTTCAGAGAGCCACTATGATTACATATTTGGCGTCCCTGAACCGGTTTTCCCTACAGCCAATAACAAAACTCTTCAAAACATTCACTCAAGACAGGAAAAATAGTCAGTTACCTGGAATTTTCTAGTAAAGTATCCATCAATAAAAAAGACAGCAAGCCCAAGCCAAGTAATTACAGACGAATAAGCATTACTTCTTACATGTAAAAAGTATAACGTAATTATTACGATTATGGAAGATATACTGTAATAGTATTCTAATGAATAGTCAGTATGGATTTTGATCAGGGAAGCCTTGATTAACTAACTTGTTAGAACTTTTGAACACATATTTTGTTTAATTACTTAAAGATTAAAAGATTTTGAATTAATAACTGGTTAATGGATAGTACACAGTAATACATCTAAAAGTATTACTCAAATTGAGGTCATGCCACTGTTTCCTAATTCATATTGATTGGAATAGTTATTAAACTAATCAACACCATGTTACAAATAAGGTAATGCTGCTCAGGACAGTTAATAACTAAAATAAAAAGAGCTTTATGCAGAGAATTGCCTACTTTCAGAAGCAGATTAGCAAGTACTGTAGAAGCAGAAAAGTAATTTCAAAATGAAAAAAATGTAACAGTAGGCAAACTCCTGGTTGGTGATATTTTATGTAGACGTCCATCCATCTACTAACTTAATCCAATACAGGGTTCATGGAGAACTGGAGCACTATTCTAGCAAGCAGTGGGTACAAGGTAGGATACACCCTGGCCGGGACAGAAGTCCAATGCGGGGCAGACACAGACATAAACACACTCACACCAGGGCCAGTTTTTCCAGAATCCAATTAACCTACTATGTCCTTGGACTGTGGGAGAAAACCAGAGCAGCATGGAGAACACCCATGGGAACATGGGAAGAACATATAAACTCCATGCAGATAGCAGTCTGGTAATTGAACCCAGGGCCCCAGTGGTTTGAGAAAGCAACGCTAACAACTGTATCACCATGCTGCCATATTTAATGTAGAGTGATGCAGACTATTACACACAAGTAGTATAAACAAACAATTTTGATTCAAGATGGGAAACAGGATGAAGAAGCTATGTATTAAAAAAGCTTAGGTGTCCATTTTGATACATACTTTAAATCTTCAAAGTATGGGGAAGCAATATAAGGGGGAAAGATCTAGTGATTTTACATTGTAAAAACTGTAAAAAAAAATTTTGAACACCATGTTAGAAAAAAAGATCTAAGAGCTGCAAACAAAATAAAACCTCTATGCACAGAATTGCCTGGTCTCATTTGTAACCCCTTATGTTCCTTTAATCATAAGTTTCAATTCCACAAAGTTCCTGTGATTTTTGTTCAATTGTATATAAGATGCTGTATATTAGTACAATTGAAAGAGGAGAGTGATGAGCTAGGAAAGTATCAGAGCTGCAGTCACAGCCTCAAGGCACAACTGAGCAATTTGCATTGAGTGCACAAAACACAAAAAGGAGATGAATAAGACCTAAGACCTTTAAAGAACAGCAGAGGGAGAACTTGGAGTCTAAAATACAGGCACAGTTGGACAGCTGCAGTCTAGCTAGGCTGAAAATAAACACACACTACAGAAACAATTGCAAATGGTGAGCGACGCCACAACCTGTGAGCCAAAAGTCCTGGAGATGATGGAGGTGTAAGGACTAGGGATCCGAAAGTTGTCAAAGCTGATAGACCAGAAGGTGGCATGATGACCTGTGAGTTTCCAATGGGGAGGGAGATGTAGCCCTTCACAACGAGATCTGAAACAAACAGCTATGCACCTTGGCCAAAGCCTCCAGAGGAGGAGATACATAAAGAATTTCCTGGCCTGATCCTCAAACGGCAGGAGGATATGACAGATTGACATTTCTACTCTGGTATTATGGTCAGAATAATAGATGACAGACAGATTCTGGCCAGAACATCCAAAAAAAACAAGTAATGCAACCAAGTTGCAGATCTATTACCTGGCAGATGGCAGTGAGCCAGTGGTTTTAACTGGAGTCCAGGTCATTGACACTGAAACAGAATTCAGGATTAAAATTAATGTAGTATTAAAAGTAAAATGATTTCCATTAAAAACAACTGTTACAAAATAATTGCAACTGCCTGGTGGCTCATTTGGGTCTCAATTAAGAACTTCTGTATTTAAATCATCACACTCTGCTTCATAATTGCTATTATGGAGCAGTAAGTCTGAACTTATGTGGTTTTTTTTCTCATGATTGTAACTGGTTTTAAAAATACCAAGGGAAAACTCTGTTTTGAGGTGAAAATGATTAATTATTAATAATTATCAATTATTATTGTGAAATAAGAATATTAATAATATTTAAACACAATTCTACATACTTCTTCACACAGCAAGTGAAAAAAAAGTATAATTTCTGTAAATACAATAGTAATAAACTTTATTTTATTTTATATAGTGCCTTTAAAGGTGGCTTCTCAAAGTGCTTTACAGAATGACAACAATAAAAAATACACAAGATAAACACAATGAGACTATGCAGAGGAGACAGTAGATGGTGGTACTAAATAAAGTAGGAGCAGAGGGGTAAAGAATGGAACCAGTTAAGTAAAGATTCTTCTAAAGAACAAGGTTTAGAGTCTGGATTTGAAGGAGTTTAGAGAAGACTCTCTGATATCCTTTGGGAGAGAGTTCCAGAGCTTAGGGGCATAACAGGAGAAGGCCCTGTCACCCACAGAGTGTAGACGGGCTTGGGGGACAGTTTGGAGACCAGAATTAGAGGAGCAAAGGTTGCAAGTGGGGAGTAAGACTATAATAGATCAGACAGGTACTGAGGTGCCAAGCCATGCAGAGCCTTACAGGTGAACATGAGCATTTTGAAGTTGACATGAAACTTGACAGGAAGCCAGTGCAAGGACTCCAGGATAGGAGTGTAGGGGCAATGCTTATTAATAAGACAGAATTAAGTGTTGCTATCCTAAATGAGGCCCCTTCTCTCTTTCTCATCTCTGAGGTGCAACCACAGAGAAGCTATTCGTGCAGTTCTGAATTAGGGTGTTTTCTCTCAAATAAGGAGCAGATCCCAAGTGGGGATGCGCCCAGCCAGGCTTGGCTATCATGATCAATGGTCATTCCTGGTGCTTATGTGTCTGTGAGATTCTTGAGAACAATCGGATTGCAGTCCAAGATGTCAGAGGTCATTGTGACTCATCTCTCACCTTGACCAAACAATCATGAATCTGTAGGGCATGGTAACCCCAGGTGCGTTTGAAATGCCCGCTAAACTTTCGGCCAATCACCACCTGTCTTGGTCCTGGTTTAAAAGACACTGCACAGCTCAGAAACTTTGTTTCTCCAGCCACTTTTCACACCCTCAGAGACAATCACGTGACCGCCAGTATAGGGAGTGGAACCTTGTTTCAGCAAAGTGTTGGCCTGGGGAATGCCCCTACGTAAATTGCCAGCCAACGCCAACGTGGACGCTTCGCTTGATCAACGAAGTATACGTTTGGACTCTTGTCGACAAACTGAATAAGTTTTTATTCAGCAACAGCGCTACACCGGAAGCAAACCAAGTTTCTTCCCCCTAAAGAGTGACTTGCTTGGACCCGCGGTCAGCCTCTGTGCATAGAGACTTTCTACTACTCAGCTGGACTACTAGTAGGTTCCTGAGAGAGACACTGTCGACGCGTCACCACAGCAGAAATCTCTCCTCTTAATTCGTCCAACTCCGAGCTGCACTGCGGCTGTTTGGCCAGGACCCAGAGGATGCTGGGACGATGCCTATTGAACGCCGCAGCGATTGGACGCAGCCGCTAGCTGGTCTTGGTGTCCGTACCGGGAAATACGAATCAACATCTGGATAAGTAAACATAATGTTCTACATTACATCTCGAGAATTTATATCAATTCAATTCATACGAGTAATGTATTAACTTTAGAGTAGCTAATCTAGACTGATTAACGATAGTATAGCCGAACAGCATACTGAAGCATATTCTTTGTATCTCTTTGTGTTTTGTATCTCTTTGTGATTATATACCTTGCACATTGATAACCCTTACAGTAAGATCGGCTATGTGTATCCAGACAGACTGTTATGTTTTATGCACAATTTATGTATTAATAAATGTATCTCTTTTATTGAATCCGTGTGTGTGCATCGCTGATCGATTGATTTTCTAAAAGCCATAACAAACCACCTTGTGACTGTTGCTACAATTAATAAATTGTCCCAGTAAATTCACAAAACCCCTACAGGAGACCTGTGGTACGTGACATCTGTATACAAAAACAAGGAGCTTAAAACTTTTTATTTAGAAGTACAGATGCACAGACTGTTACGTCCCAGTGTGTGTTCTGTGTGTGTTTTTTCTGTTATGTCTACACTGCTGACCCTTGATTGTTCTCCCTTCCCCATTGACCCACCATTACAACACACTTTCAGTATGATGTCATCATCAATTAGCTCTCAGCCAATCAGAACACATCTTATTCAGCATATAACATGGAGGTTTTCAGCAGGGAGAGGCCTTTTGTTTGACTTTGGTCCCATTTGGTTTTGGGTATCGCTGCACTTCGCTTTTGGTTATTGCTTCGGCTTCATTGGTTTGTTTTGCTTTGTGTGTGTGTATTTTCGTATAGCTTCAGTCTTGTTGTTTTGTTGGTTTTCTGTTAGTTTCTTTGTACTTTCGTTTGTGTGTTTATCCTTGTTTTGCCATTACCTTGCCCTAACGTGTTACATGTTCAACCTTTTTTTTTTGTACCCTGTTCCTGTTGATTACTCTCGTTTTCCCTTATTTGTATTCCTGGTTCACTTGTGTTTTTGTGTGAACTTTTGTATATAAGGTTAGTTTAGGTTGTTGGGTACACTTTACACACTTAGTTGACTTTGTATTAGTAACACTAGTTTAGTACGGGTGAGTGCCATTTGTCTTGTATGGTTTTGGGTAGTCAGTGGAGGTTAGTTAGGGTGTTGAAGACGCCGAAGACTGTGTGTTTCGGGTTTTCTTTCGCAGTCAGGTTAACTATCCCTCATTTTCCTAGCCAGTTCCCGGTTAATTGTTTTTTCATATGTGCTTTTTTAAAATCCAGATCTGATGCTAGGTTTGCTTACAAACTTCAATACATTCATATACTAAATAATACTTGAAAAGTGTATCTACAGGTCTGTAAATTAATATCTCACATATCTAGCACACCACCTTCAGTCTGTTGCACTTAATATTTGTTAACACCTTATTATGTTTTCAGTTTCCTGAATTTAAATTTATTAACTCTAGATCAAAAGGAACTGAGCTATTAAGAAGAAACTGCATGTAAAGCAGGGATTTTGATCAAGCAAATTGTTATTACGGAAGCACTCAATACATTTTTCAACATTATGTTTAGCTAATAGAAATAATACTGAGAAATAATAAGATTATTTAAAATGGTCACTGACACCAAAGTAATCCCGTACAACAGCATCGCCCCACAACATCAGCTATTGGTGTTGGATGCCAAAGTCCGCCTAGTCCAAACCCCGGCGCGACCAACCACCAATATTGAACGCATCAAATGGTGAATTACCAGAACATCAAGCTGTTGTGAAGGCGACACTAGGACCATTGGTGCCCAATCCAAGACAAACAGTCGGCGAAGATTGGAACAACCTGGCTGAACGCGTCAAGACATGCGCCGCAACCACCCTGGGAACCACAAAACCAAACTGGCGTTTTATCGACAAACAGACCTGGTGGTGGAACGACGATGTGCAGCAGGCAACCAAGGCAAAAAAGGACGCCTACAAGACCTGGCGGCAGACAAAATGCGATACTGCACATTGAAATCCACCGCAAAGCAAACCATGGCGACTTCAAAGGCGGCACACTACCAGGACCTTTATGATCAACTGGACACGCCTGGTGGGGCAAACAAGATCTACAAACTCGCCCACGCACATGACCGAGCCACACAAGACCTAGGACACGTTATCAACATATCGACAAAGATGAAAATGGGCAGATGCTGCAGAAGCCAAAAAACATTCTCCGGCGCTGGAAGGACTACTTCGAGAAAATATGCAACGAGGAATTTCCACATCCTCCACTACCAGCAGCTCCGATACCATCTCCGGCCCAGTACCCACCATCACAATCCCAGAAGTAACCACTGCCATCAACAAAATGAAAAGTGGCAAAGCAACTGGCCCGGACGACATCCCAGCCGAAGTATGGAAGCTCCTTGGAACACAAGGAGCAGCATGGCTCGCGGACCTCTTCAATAAGATCACTGAGGAAAAGGCACCCCCAGAAATGTGGCAAACCAGCATCACAGTGCCAATTTGGAAAGGAAAAGGCGACGTTAATGACTGCTCCAATTACAGGCCGATCTGGCTGCTGTGCCATACAATGAAGATTTTCGAGCGTGTGCTGGACGCATGACTAAGAACCATCATCGATATCTCGCCAAACCAATGCGGCTTTGTGAAAAACTGCGGAACAATAGACGCCATACACGCAGCCCGCCTACTGATGGATAGGCACCACGAGAAGAGGAAAATGATCCACATGGCATTTCTCGACCTGGAAAAGGCATTCGACAGAGTACCGCACAATCTCATCTGGCTGGCGCTGCTACAGCACCACGTCCCCGAAGGCTTTGTCAGCTGGACAAAGCTCCTGTACCAAAAGGCCACTAGCTCAGTACGTTGCGCAGCTGTAACCTCAGACACCTTCCCGGTCAATGTTGGCATCCACCATGTTGGCTCAGTCTTGTCTCCTTTGCTATTCATACTTTGCATGGATACAGTGAACAAAGATATCCAAACGAGGCATCCATGGACGCTATTGTATGCCGACGATGTTATGAGAGCAAGTGAAACGCGACACAGCCTTGAACAGCAAGTACAGGAGTGGAAGACCGCCTTGAACGATTCGGGATGAAATTGAACATCAAGAAGACGGAGTACCTGGAATACGGTGATCAAACCGATGGCACAATCGCAGCTGGTGGGTTCCAACTGAACAAAGTGACACAGTTCAAGTACCTAGGCTCATGTGTCAACTCCGACTGCACTACCCTCCAAGACTCCAAGACGCGAGTCAGCGCCGCTTGGATGAAATAGCGGCAGGTCACTGGAATACTGTGCGACAAGAAGATCCCTTTGTGCCTAAAATCCAAAGTCTACCGCTCAGTGATCAGACCAGTGGCCCTATACAGAACTGAATGCTGGCCAACGACAAAGAAACATGAACAGGCACTCCATGCGATGAAAATAATGCTGCGATGGACCCTTGGCTTGACAAGACTAGACCATGTCATGAATAAAGAGGTGCGAAAAACACTCAAAGTCGCCCCAATCACTGAGAAAATGAGGAAATCGCGCCTGCAATGGTATGGACACATGAATGGCAAAGACCGCCCTTGAATTGAATGTGGAAGGCTGCCGGCCCCTTGAACGACCATTTACGTGCTTGCTGGATCGGCTGAAAGACGACATGCGCCTCGCAAAAGTCACCTGCCAAGACGCTGCATACCATACGAAGTGGAACAATTGGTGCAAAAAAGCAGACCCCACATAAGTGGGAAAATGCGAAGAAGAAGAAGATTGAGAAATAATAAGATTCTTTCAATTATTATATATTCTAGCTAGATTATTATGTACATATATAAAATGAAAACCATGTAAAAACTCACACTGTGACAATTATTTATTAATTGCCAGTGATTGACAGCTAATGAGTAAAGACAATAAACTAATAACTATAGTAGATAAAAAATAATACATGACCTTACAGTATGACAAATGAAATGAAAATACCCGATTACAAAATCAATTTAAATATTTAAATCTAAAGAGCACATCAATATGTTACCATGACAGTGATATGATTAAACGAAGAAAAACAATAAGAAAAAAACAAAATGACTCTTGTTAAAGCAGTTTGAGGGCTACAGTATAATCGACAAACACAGGAGAATAAGAATGTTTGAAATCTTCAGGTGTGGAAAACCAAGGAGAGTTTTACGAAATGCAGAAAAATTGTTTGAATAGTCTTGCATAGATTGAGGTGCAGTGGAGTGTTGTAAAGAAAAACCTAAACTCCAGAACTATAAATTTTATGTGTTTGAAGAGACAGCCAGTGATTTCAAAATGCAGAAAATGAAAATGTTAGCATAAAAAGATGCAAAGAATACGTGCAAGAAGATACTAACCTAATGCTACCCAAATACTTCAAAGTATCATTTTTGCTTGCTGTTTTTCAATTTTATGGATGTCATCTAATTTGTTGCTCTTATTTTAGAAAGCAGAAACTTTACCTTTTAATACAATTTATATAAATAATTTTCTTCACAGGGTGGCACATTAATATGATGGTTAATGTTACAACCTTACTATTTTTTATTTGTACTGTGGAGATTATCCATAAACCAGTCAATGTTAAGCCATGTGATGTCAATGCCATTATTTACAGTTTTGTTTTGTGAAGTCAAATACTGCATGTGGTTGTGAGACAAGCTCCATCCTATCCTCTATAAATTCAGTAACAGCAGAACAGTTTACTGACCTGTGCTAAACATCAGAAGGTCATCTTTTGGGGTGCCATCCAGGATCCCGCCAAAGACATAAATATTGTCCCCGACTGTGACTGCACTATGCTTCAAACTCTTCAGAGAGACTCCTCCAGTTTTCAGCTTCTCCCAGGTTAATGATGCTGTCAATGACAACCTGGATGTTATTGTGAAAGTTTATGAATCAGACTATGACAGACATCCACATGTATTTATAGCATTTTCTTAAAATTATTCAGGTGCCATTTATAAAAACAATAGCCGTTTTAATCTTTCAATTAATTTCATACCATTATTTTTTATTTACAAAGTGTAGCATTTACACGTGTCATTGTCAGAACTATTAATTGATTATTAATTTATTTCGCTAATGTTTTGTGAAAAGTATTGATTTATTCAGCTGGAAATTTAGCATTTATACAGAAGCAATCTGAATCAAGTACCTTGCTCAAAGCAGCGCCCAACCTTCTACTCATACTGTATGTGCAGAGACCTGATCACTACACCAGTGGTCTGCAAGAAATCCAATCTGTAGCCACTACAGATGAAATGAGAGGACCAAATCTACTGCTGTTGCCATTGTGTCGAATGTCGAATTGACCCTGTTGCTTCCACAGTATTATTACTGTTACTGTTCCTGTGCAGTTCACTTTATAATACACTTGCTATTTTGGATCTTACCAGTGTTAAAGCAGTACACTCCAGGAAGGCATTCTTTGGCTTGTGGATGTGAAGCACCACCAAATAGGTATAATTTTCCATTTATCACACTGTGGCCAAACAAGAACACTTTATATACAAGCAAGAAGTTTCTTTGAAATGTTTTTAGTTTTGTCTGTTATATGAGAATATTAAACTATATTACAGTTAGATTATAAATACAATTAAAAGAAAATTATGGTCTTAAACTCCACAGTTTATCCTCCTCAATGTAATTTTAAAATTAAAGTGAAAAGCAGTTTGTTACAAAGGTGCTTATGGTTTCTATTCTTTGTCACCTAGAGAAGTTCATATGAATATTGCAAATCATGTTATGTTAATACCAATAAAGGTTTTCTGAACTATAAATGACAAAATGAAATGGTGTCATTTCTTACCATAGAGAGTGGCCCTCTCTTGCAGGTGGAATCAGCCCATTTTGTGGTATCACCTCCCAAGTCAAATCAGTTGGTGAAACTATATCCATTTCATAGGTTTTATAGATTTTACAATGAAGAAAAGCAATTATTGGAAGTGATATTGAATTAACTAAAATAGACTGTCATCAGAACAATAAACATCAAAGTGTGTGATTACACAAAAGTGTAATGTGATCAAAGCTCTTATTAAAGTTATTGGGTTAGATCAAAGCAATTTACCAAAACAGAAGTGAGAGTAAAGTACTTTGCTTTTAACCACAAATCAAACTTTTGTAAATATATAATTAGGCTAATACAATAAAAACCCTGTCTCCTGTCTTGCTAATACACATTCTGGTGAATGTTTGTACTCCAAAGCTTAACTTTTGGCTGCAAGAAGAAACTAATACTGAGTTTGTTTCTGTAACACTGTATGAACTGAGAAAATTAAACAAGTGGAAAAATATTCTACTGAAAACTCACAAGAATGAAATGAGTGTTAAGTGTAAATGGTTTCAATGAGTGGAGCAGTTCTTGAGAACTGTGTCATCAAAAGAGAGACAATTAAAAATTACAAGGTAGATAGAAAAATAAATCACACAGAGGTGTCTACATGTTTAATAAGTGGTCTATGCCTAATACAACTCTTGTCTTCTGTTTGAAAGACTTCCATAGGGTTTGAAAGCAAGTCGACTCCTTCAATTTAAAACATGCACTTAAACATGAATCATTTGTAGGAATTTGTTTTCTTCCTTAATTTCAGTTTACACATTCAGTATAGAATTATATTTAAAACTGCTGAATGACACATACATTACAGTACTCAAAAGAATGCAAGAAGCTTTTCCGTGGGTTATATTCTTTAGCATTTAAAGGGGATGGCATCCAGTTACATCTTGTGGTGACTCCATAAATAATAATCCACAAGGAATAATTTAATAAAGTGAGCTTGTCACTGCATATTAAGACTCCTGGTCAAAGACCTAGTCTATATATGTAAACTGTATATAATAATAATAATAATAATAATAATAATAATAATAATAATAATAATAATAATTGCTTATACTTATCTAGCGCTTTACTGGACACTCCACTCAAAACACTTTACAGGTAATGGGGACTCCTCTCCACCACCACCAATATATACTTTATATACTGTATAACATTAAAGATATTACCCTAAGCACCTGCTGTTAACACTTTCCACAGCCATATTTGTGGAGGAATAGCATTTGATCAATTAAGAAACCAAACAGCCTGCATTAGCATTAAAGCAGTCCAATTAAACATTCATATATATATATGTTAAGAAATTTAATTGGATCAATTTAGTACTGTAAATTGGAGTGATATGAAAATGATAAACACTCTTTATGATTGGGTTGATTGTCACTGGTAACAGAGTAAAATGAAAAAAAAATGAAAGTGTAGTATTCTCTGAGCAGAACAAAACATACCTCTTAGTATGTTAATTAGAAATATTAAAGCATAAATTTATTAAAGTTACCTGTAAACATGTAAAAATCATTTAAATGTTTTGGCTGGCCATCCTGTAAAAGATTATAAGAACATGTTATAAATGTATTTATTTGGGCTAGATGTTGATCTTAAAGACTGCTTACATTTCAATTCAGCTTACATAATGCTTGAACTAAAGCCTTTATTTTGTGCAATTACAATAATTAGATTTTCATTTTAGAAATATATAATTTTGCTAAATTTTAATAAAACCACACAAACTTAATATAAATATTATTTTCTCTGTATTTTTCCAGAGCTGGTTTAATATTATTAAGACCAAGAAGTAAGAAAGCATATATGCTATACAGTGAATATTTGTAGGGTATTATCCATTTCAACTTTTTGGGGAAGAAGCTTTACAGACAAGCACTAAATAGTCATAAAGTAGAAAGAACTGACAAAAAAACTTGTGAAATGTTAAGATTAGAACAACTTTAAACAGGATGATGAAGCTCAAAATAGCAATATTTTAGAGATCATTGGGGTCATTTGTTGAACTAAAACCATTGTTTGGACAAGTTCTCTACTGCCCTCTGTCTTGTTTTAGCTTTTTTGAACCTCCTTCTTTTGATGTCAGTAAGACAATAACAACCTAGAATTAGTCCAAAATGTACTCACCAGGGAATTCAAGGTGGACATGCCACCAAACAGGAATGCTATATTTCCAGCTACTGCCAGGGCATGACCATGTCTTTGAAAAACAAAAAACAGTGAGTAATATTTGACTGTGCTTACATAATACAAGACCTATTTTTCTTTATAATATGTTTAAAAAGTATGTTTATTATCTACCTTGGTTTAAAACACAAGACATTAATCTTGAAAAATTCCCTGATAATTGAAACTATACAAACGTATCTTTAAAATAAGATGAATGACATTGTAAAAATGTGAAAAATTGAATTTAGAAGGTAAATATCTACTATTTATCTATATACAGTAAGACAATATGACTCCTGTCCAAAATTTCTTTTCTGGGCTATGTTATTGATCAGAGATAGAAGCACTTAAGCTTTACTTGTATCACAATGTGTCAAATTAGCATTGTTTAAAGAAGTAGAATGTATAATTACGTTGATTTTGTTCTTTGACTCCTTATTTCACATCCTTTACATTGTTTCATATGATTTTCTAAACCCAAGTCTCTTATTAACATTTATAATACACCCCTGTAAACTTCCTGCTAGAAAGTTCAGAAGTGTTAAACTACAGGAGATGAAGAGAAGTGTATTAAATTATATTAGTTAAAACTAATTTTGGGCTAAAAAATTCAATTTTGTACTACCCTCCTGTTACTCTGTACTCTTCCTCAATATTTGAAAATATTGTCAAAGTAGCTAGTTTTACAAAGATGCATGAATAATATGAGTCAAAACAAAACTAACAGAGGTATGTAGGCAACTTATGAAGGGAACATTGCAACACACATTAAACATTACATTACAGGAACCGTAGTTTATTGTTTTATTGAGTTAAAAAATAATGTTCTGATATTTTGTACTTTTATTGTAAATTCTGTGCTCAATTAGAGGCTTATAAGAATCAGCTGATGTACAGTATACTGTATAAGGGTAAAATAACTAATTACAAAATCATTTTCTGTGCTCAGTTAAGTTTTTAAATTTTAAATGGATGTAACATAATGAATGTAAACATAATCCTCTAGAATATTTTTTTAATAACTGTTACAACTTGTTTTGTTTAAATTATTTTTCAAAGTAAAAACAAATAAATATGAAGACAAAGCAGACAGAAAAGGAAGCATAATTTACCTGGGGCACGGCAGGTCTCCTTTGATCTCTTTTTCAATCCAATGACCACTTGCCAACGCCATTTTTCTATCTGAAATACATGCATTCATGCATAAAGATATGTAAGTAAGTATAAAACTACTGATCTGTTTAAACTCTTCATTTCCTGTGCAGTAAAACACAAATAGTTAAAAAATAATTTTATTTCAGTGCGCTTCTCACTCTTTCAACAACACCAGCCTTTGTCAGTACAGATATGCCCTCTACTTCTGGATGGATGACGATATGCAGCTCTTCACAGTTCTACTAGTACTCATGTTGCTTAGATACAGAGATACACAGGAGCTTGCAGCACTAAAATGACAATTAGAGTTTAGTTGATAACTATGATGAGCCAAGTAGTAATCTGTATAGGATTACATCTCCAGTATCAAATCCACCTTTACATGCACGCACAGTCAGTTAAGACATGGGATATATTACATATTGAGTGTCAATGCACAAAAGCTTGAACTTCATTATTAATAGGATGACAGAATGTAGTCTACTTCAGGAGCTGCATTTGAGTTTCTTTTTTTCATTTTACGCACCTTTCCAAAAACGAATGCACTAAATTTAATCTTAGGAAGTTATCGTCATGATAGCGCATGCCTGGTTTGTAAAAGACCTCCATCTATTTTCTAACCTCTTTAGCCAATACACTTTCGTTTAGGAGCTGGTGTCTATACCAGCAAGGAACAAGTACAAGGTGAGATACACCCTCGATGGGACACTAACCCATCAAAGGACATATTCACAGACACACACATTCACACGAGGGACTGTGGGAGGAAATCGGAACACTCAATAGAAACTGACGCAAACATAGGAACAAAAAAACAAACTCCACGCCTATAGCACCCCAGAAATTGAACTTAGGCCTCAGTGCTGCTAGGCAGCAATGCTGGCCACGGTGCCAACCTTTAAAGTGTGAAAAATGGAATAAGAAAAAAAAATACTTACCCGGCAATATTTCATCAAGATATATCAAATATAAAATAACATTAAAATAGCCCACTGAAAGTTTTCAAATACATGTATTTCATATAATTCACCTTTCAGTCTCATTCACAAGCTTATTTACTGTAAACATTCAGCAATTAAAGCATCAATTAAAACTGAAAAGCATGATGTTGTCACAGCATTATTATAAGATGTTAGCTACCAAAGAAAAAACATCAAATGAGAATAACTTTTTTTTTATTTTAGGCTGTTTGTTAAAGTCATTAAGCAAAGATTATTCCACCAGTTCGAAGCCTCAGCAGTTTTGTTATATTTTCTTCTGATATCTTCCCAGCTGAGTTGCAGTGCTTAGGCTTTTCTAGACTGGCTAAAGATTAATTTAAAAAAGTACAAAATAATAATAATTTATAATTGTTTACACTTTTATAGTGCTTTTCTGGACACTCCACTCAAAGCAATACAGGTAATGGGGATTCCCCTGCACCACCACCAGTGTGCAGCATCCACCAGGGTGATGCGATGACATCCACAAAGCACCAGAATGCTCACCACACATCAAGTATTAAGCCAATTTATAGATGAGCGTTATTAGGAGGCCATGAGTGGTAAAGGTCCATGGGAAATTTGGCCAGGATGCCAGGGTAACACCACTACTCTTTTCGAGAGACACCCTGGGATTTTTAATGACCACAGAGAGTCAGGACCTCGGTTTTACGTCTCATCTGAAGGACAGTGCTTTTTTACAGTATAGTGTCCCCATCACTATACTGGGGCATTAGGACCCACACAGACCACAGAGTGAGCGCCGGCTGCTGGCCCCACTAACACCACTTCCAGCAGCAACCTTAGATTTTCCCAGGATGTCTCTCATCCAGCTACTGACCAGGCTCACACCTGCTTAGCTTCAGTGGGCTGCCAGCTGTGAGTTGCAGGGTTATATGGCTGCTGGCAAAAAACTAAAATAAAGCTAAGCTCTTAAAGAATGTAATAAAACTTCAACTTAATAGGTATTGTTCAGACAGAACGTCACTGAGCTTCATTGCACTGAAATAAAGAGAAAACAGGCTGCATCCAACTTCAACCCTCTAGGTTTTTTGGCTCAGAGCTTGGACCCAATTTTTGCTAACTTATACATACTGTAATGTAATGCTGTAGAAATACACAATGTTTTCATACAAACGTGTAAGCTTCTGAAATTGTAAATAAAAGAAACGTTCTTTTATTCCGAATATACAACGCAACATTGACCTTTAGTTTCTCTATAGCTTATCGATATGAAAAACATGCTTTATTAATACAAACAACAAGACCTTCACTTCTTCAGGTCTTCAAATTTCTTCAAATATACCCTAAAATATAAAGGATTGGCTTTATTACTACTTTTAAAGCCATTTATACTCTTTAAACAACAATCATAACAATCCTTAAGAGAGTTGCCATATAGTATTTGTTTCTTATATGGACAGTGACATCTTAATTCGTTGTTTTGTCACGGCACAAAACAAGTGCACCGCAGTTACTTGGGAAGTGTCCGGGGACATAATCTGCCATACCGAAAATTTAACAAATCCCTTAATAGCTGAACACGGGTCAAAAATCGGACGTCTAACAATCCTTGGACTAAGTGTTAAAAGAACGCCTACACTCTCCCTCCCTTCACCGTGACAGTACATAGGCTTAACAATGGAACGGCTACTTCTCTCCGGTTGCTAAGCGATCAGACGTCATTCCGTACGGGGCTACGTATGTTCCGGTCGTGTGTCAAAGGCGGCGGCAGGAAGAAGATTGTAGTGTTGCCTTGAGCGGAGCCAAAATTGGAACCCATAAGACAGGAAAGTGCTGTAGCAATATTAGTCTGCTTATTTAAATAAACTATAATTAGGAAACAACAAAGCAGGCAACCTGGAAGAAGCAGGTACACCGAAAATATCTACGCAACATGGATTTTATATAATTCCGGAAAAATGTGAGGAGATGAGCCAGGAGAAAAAGAAGAAGCAGACCAACCGCATCATGTTGGTCAAAAAGATCATAATGAAAGATGGGAGCAATGTAAGTGATCGTTTTCTATTTTTTTGCAGTCCTCCGCGAATACTGAACAGAAGCGAAGGAACTTCATGATTATATATATGAATAACTGTAACATATCCTGTAGTGTTGACATGAAAAACACGAGTTCGGTTCTAGTTTCGATTCAAGCATCAGTGAAGGTTTTCTGGAAACGCTGTTTTTGTGCCAATATGGGCACAACAGTACGCAAGATGAAAAGGAGACGATTGCTGTAGAATAAAGTTTTATTTATGGTTATAGAACGTTTGTCTGTATTCATTATGAGCCAATATATATATATATATTTATATTATAAGGATAATTGTTTAAATTAATTTGATAAATATGTAATATTCCCTTCTTCATTAGCTGTTTTCATTTTAGTGTAAAACTTGTATTTTATTGACTCAATTTTATGGTGTTGCCAGTTACAATGATCAAAGTGTTAATTCTTTTAATATTAGTTCACCGTCTTAAAGCTTCACCAAAAGTTTCTTCAAACTCTTTTTATGTTAAAAGTTTGCAAGAATCTGAAAGCTGTTTTTTCTGCAGGATTTTATAGTGCCCCCTAAATTGTATATCGGTTTAAATTCTTCAAGGCTTTCACACACTCTAGAGAGCTGTACACTACATTTGTGTAGATACGACGAAAGATAGTTAAGGTTGTCATTGAATGTCGAAGTTAACACGTTCTACCTTGTTGTACCTTGATTGTCTCAGTTGGAGCAGTGTAGTTTTGTGTGAAGCACTTGATAAAGTGTAGGTTACATATTTAATGAAGTCCTCTGCTTCCTATTTCATTCGTCATACTTTAGTGAAACGCGACAAGTGTTTTCCGACTCCATTTAACTATTTCGAGGAATATGTACAGTAAACAACACCTTAACTGTATACCTGTACATGGTAGAGACACTCTACCGTCCAGAGTCAGTGAGTCGAGGACTGTCGCAAACGTACTGTAGCAAACATCATACTGTTATACACCATAATACTTAAAATACTAAATAATTATTGCAAATTTAAGTCACAACACTAAGCTAATCTAAATAGATTTATTTTCTTGACTATAGCAGTCTTTCGGGACTCTAGAAGTGCAGGCCTAATGTGTTTTTATGCTACTGTATGACATGTTATGTGACTGTAACCGTAAAGGTCTGTATGAAACAAGTAGTAATTTTGGCTTCGTTCTTGAACAATGTGTTGGAAAAACCACAACACGGTATACCTGATGCAAATACCAAACGTTTTTTTTTTTGGTCCCCGCAAAGACCTTGTGTAACCCCTAATACTGAGATATAAGGCTAAGGGACAAAGGAAATTGCTTATTATTGAAACCTAAACAGAACCAAAGGAAAACTTGAAAAATATCGACATGTTAACTGTCCATTAGACACTGCACTTCTACAGCCTTTGACATTTAAAAATATATTATTACTTATTAAGTCTTAATAAATCTAAAACCTGGAATATTATTAATATATATATATGCTCTTTTCTTTAAGAAGTGTTAGAACTTATCTGAATTTCACCTTGCTTAATAGAATCGAGGACCTACAAGTATTTATACATTTTTCTGTAACCTTTTTTTGCCTTTTTATTTGTAAATCAAAAGCATTCACTCAGATAACAGGTAGAAGTTCTCTATCATCCTATTGATATTTCTAAATTACACACTTAACAGTTCTCTGCAATACCATCTTGAAGTTTCAAAAAATGGATTTAAAAAATTGATGTTAGTAGAAATATGTCTGCTATTGATCCATCTTTGACTTAACTTTTTTGAAAAACAAATTTTGTTTCAAAGGAGGTTTGTCTCTACATTGCTGTTCCGCCACAGAATAATATTGATAAGAAAATGGAAAAAAACACCTTCTCAAACTTGAAAAAATGGGTGTAGTTGTCTGATGTAAACCAAAGATTTTAATGTTGTGGTAACAAAATTTTAAAATGACTGTGGCAAAGGCTGACCAGCAAAAAGCTTAGATTTTTCTTTTCATGTATTTTCATTGGAACTATTTAAATTGAGAAAGATGGATAGTCAGCTGCTTAAAATATTACCTATCTTTCTATTGCCTAAACCACTTTATCCAGAATGGAGTTGCGGGGGATGCCAACACCTAACCTGGCAATCACTGGGGGCAAGGCAGGATACATCCTGGAGTGGTAGCCCACATCCTTGTATTGGATAAAGTTTTTAGAAAAAAGATGGATGGATATTGTGTTTTTGCTTTGCAATATACCAGTAATACGTCACTTAGCATACTCAGTCACATTGGGTCACTAACACAGAAAGTTTTAGCCTATAAAGTTCCAAGAGGAAGAACAAAAATGATTTCTGATCTCAGGGTGTTGTAATGTCTAGACAGGTAAGGGGACATACTGTAAATCTTTTCACTATATAAAAAAGGAGTATGGTAGATAAGATCTAATTCAAGGATTTTAAGATCCAGCTTTGGCGTGTGACTCGCATGCTGGAGGTCGGGGGCTCAAACCCTGTTCCTGGCCTGAGCTTTCTTTGGGTGGTGCGGTGGCACTGTGGCTAAGGATCTGCACCCGTGGCTGGACAGTTGCCCGTTCGTATCCCGGCCAGCAGAGAAATCCTACTCCATTGGGTCCCTGAGCAAGGTCCTTAACCCCAACTGCTCCAGGGGCGCCGTATAAATGGCTGACTCTGCCCTCTGACCCCAAGCTTCTCTCCCTGTCTGTGTGTCTCATGAGTGTCTCAATAAAGTGATCTTATAAATATGATTAATCTCAGTAGCACAAGACCATGGTGTCATAACTGGAACTAAAAGAGAATTCATTGAGAACATTTAATAGGAAATTTTTCTTTACAAAAATTGTTTTGGGATGTGGAACAAGCTTCCCAGTGAGGTTGTTTGGGCCCATTCTCTGGGTACTTTTAAGAAAAGGCAGCATGAACTGCTAGATTTGCGAGCAGATTGGCCTCCACATATTTGCATTATTTGTAATGTTCTTATTGGTTACCATTCAGTGCTTGTATGCTATTATTGTAGTTACTTAGTAGAAATAATTAAAACCCTGGCCTATACGTCATGAGAACAAACAAATCACACAGCATACTAGCATATAATTTGAATGTTTTTATTAACCACATCTAACAAGCATTATGTATTATGAGAAAATTATTAAACTCAAAACAATGGTAGTTTTAATTCACAGAAAAACATTTAAATTTAAAATGTGATAGTAGTTCTTTTGCCACATTTTCAGTGTAAACATTTGGAGTGTAACAAACCGTTGCTATATCAGTACATCATGAATTTAGCTCAGCTTTGCTCTGTGGTGCTTCAGCTTGTCAAACAGTTTCAATTTCTGCATCTTCAGCTGGTATTTTTTCTTCTGGGCAGTGTGATCAGTATAGAAACTGTAATACTGTATATATTTATTTGCTTTTTGGTTGACTATTTGAAGAGCACCACTATTTTGCACACCAGTGTTGTGACTCATTTGCAAACAAAGCGACCCACTAGTTTAATAGTTTAAGAACTTGTGTCCTCAAGTGTGAAATTAGAGATCATATGCATATTCCAGTTAAGCTACCTGTGACTTGTTCTTGCCTGTTGCTTGTTAAGCACAAGAATGGTATAAGAAGAGACCGTTTTTGGGCTCTGAAAATAACGGCACTTGTGGTTTACAAAGGAATGTATTATGTCATGTGCTTCTGGGTTTAGTTCCAAGTTGCCATGACCCACACCAGGACAAGTGGCTTTCTCATAATGGGTGGAAGCTTCATTTCTGATTTGAATTCTTACAGCTTATTTTCTATATTTTTTTTTGTTTTTGCAGACATTTGAGTTATTGCCCACACATGTTCAATTTGAGCATTTAGGTTTTGATGAAAAACATTCACTTAGTAATCTAACATGTAACTCAACAAAAAGAGACATTATTGAGACACTGTATCTCCTCCTTTCCCTTCATACTGTAACGCAACGGGGGCTCAGGCGGGCGCCCTTGCCGCATCTGGTCAGCCCCATCCTGACTGGAGGCTCGAACCCGGGACTTCCGCGTCTCTCTGCAGCGACCTAGCCCCGTGAGCTAAAGAGAGATCTCTCTACAGCCCAGTAGCTGTAGTCCTGCTATCACAGGGAAGGGCGGTGACGTCACCTGCTCTGGTACGCCGGCTCTTACACACAGTGCTTGTCGGCCGTAAGCGTTACGCTCTCCCCCGCTTAAATCGCCGTCCCCGGCGAAGGGCTATCCCATCCTGCTTCTAACACCAATGTAACGCAACGGGGGCTCAGGCGGGCGCCCTTGCCGCATCTGGTCGGCCCCATCCCGACTGGAGGCTCGAACCCGGGACTTCCGCGTCTCTCTGCAGCGACCTAGCCCCGTGAGCTAAAGAGAGATCTCTCTACAGCCCAGTAGCTGTAGTGCTGCTATCACAGGGAAGGGCGGTGACGTCACCTGCTCTGGTACGCCGGCTCTTACACACAGTGCTTGTCGGCCGTAAGCGTTACAATACACATCTCTGAATGTTTCGACTAGCCATTGCTCTGAAATATAAGTATGAAAGTTATGAATTTCATTAGGAATGTTTACTAGGCCTATTTAACAATTTATTTTATTATTTTTTTATCAATTTATATCTAATAGTTTGCTGATACTCAGCTCTTGTGTATGACATTATTTTTGTACGATTTTTGTAAGATATGTTTTATTTACCTCTGTGTGCTATCAATTCTTCCTCAGAATACAACACAGACTTTGCAGGTGAACCGTTTGCAACAAATATTCACCACATGAGACATTTTGTGAATGCATCTTGGTTAAATCTAATTCCCAGTCTTTTAATTTTAATGGTTTCTGTTTCATTTTGTTGATTTTAAACACTTTGCACTTTTGTTTGTGTGTATTTTGACCATCACAATCATTTTTTAGATCTTATTCTGTATTGCACATGCAATTCCAAAGTCTCCAGTTGTTTGAAATGCTATTAATTTAATATGTGGTATTACAAGTTACTAAATTCTTTCTTTCTCTTTTCACAGCACCAGGGAATTGGGAATGCTAGTGTTACCCATGCTGTGATTGTAATATTCTTGGAATTTTTTGCCTGGGGCTTATTAACAACTCCAATGTTAACTGTAAGTACTGTATGTTTTTATACGACCAAATTAAGAAGTTGTGTATACATTTAACGTCAAGGTAGAAAATGAAGTCAATTTGGTTTGTGCTGAAGTTCTGTGTTAACAGGGTATTGGTGCAATGTTCAAAACATTTTGTTTTTGTATTTTGTTTATTGTCTGTTCCTTGCTTGAAGTACAAAAATAGGAAATAGGAAAATATCTCCAAACTCTATGCATCAATAACATGTTAAGACTAGAAATTAAAGATTCATCTTGTCCTGACAGTGTTGGATATTCAGACAGTATTATCAAGGTTAGTAAATTATGATGTGCAGTGTCCAGTGGTCTTAAGTCGTACATTGTGTATTATGAATGAACTTAAAAACAAGAGTCAACAAGCTCCATGGTACATAATTACATCATATCCCTTTCACAATATTTACCTTTCTATTTATAGTGTAGCTTGGATGTTATTTCTGTTTTATCATCTACTATGTGTTACTATCTCTAAATTGGTTTTTATTTATTATACTTGAGCCTTTACTAAGCACAGAAATTTGTGTTTCAGGCTTTTGGCTTTTTGTGATTTTAATTTTACTGATATACTTTTACATCTGGAAACTTAACACTTTCAGTGGTCAGAAAAAAACATGACTGTATTGTCTTTTTAAAACTTAAAATATCTTGTGAAAAAGGGATTCCTCAACTATATAGAATTAATTCTTATTTTTGTGATTCTCTTTTCTGTAGCAAGCAATGGGCACAAGGCAGGGTACACCCTGGATGGGATGCCAGTCCATTGCGGGGCACACAGACACTAACACACTCACATCTACGGAAACCCACGTGAATCCATGGAGAAAATACATACTCCATACAGAGAGCACCCCATATCTGGAATTGAACCCAGGGCCCCAGTGCTGCAAGGCAGCAACGCTAAGCACCGCAAATTAATTGAATCAATTCATAATTAACAATTGAAGCAATTTATAGAATATTTGAGAATATTATAGAAAACTCAGTTTTCATTAAAAACCTTTTAAAAAAATATTATTGAACATTTTTCAATTTGAAAAAATGGCCACAATCCAAATAATCTATTTCTTATAAAATTCCTTTACATGTTTTGAGTAAAATATAAATCATAAATCTTTTGAGTGAGCTTGATTCTGAGAGCCTCAGAATAATTTTTCTAAAATCCTTAATATGTCAATAAAAACGTGAGAGTCTTTCAATCGTGGAAATTCAAGAGAGTGGTCACACAGTTGCATTTTGTGTGCAAATGCCTACCGGGCAAGCAACGAGCACAAGGCAGGGTACACCCTGGACAGGATGCCAGTCCATCGCAGGGCTATTGCAAGCTAATAATACATGGGGACAATTAGCAGGCCACAGTAAAGGCCGAGGGGGGAAATTTGGCCTGGACACTGGGGTAACTCCGTACTCTTATTGACAAAATGCCTGGGGATCTTTTATGATCACTGAGAGGACCTTGGTTTCATGTCTCATCCAAAAGACGGTAGTATAATAGTATATACTGTAATTTAGTATATATATATTTTTATAGTATATAGTATAATTATTTTATGCAGATTCAGTTTTGGAAATTGTATCCATTACAGATATTTTACCACAGATTTCCATAAAAAGTCCTATCAGTTAAATAGGGAGATGAAAGGACCAACACTTTCTAAATATATAAGCCACAATTGTATGTGCAGTTTCTGCCACCTCCAAAGAATGTGTAAAATCTCATTGTTATATTCATTGTTAATTATGTAGTTAAGTAAACGTGTTGGTTTTCTAATAGCTTGTCTGCTATCTTCCCTCAAATTCTGTTAAAACTTTAGGGATGATTTATATATTTTATATATTTTGACTTCCCTGTTTTTCTAATCACATCCACAAAGTCTGCAATGCATCCATTTTCCATTTATGAGACGTACTGTATCTTGCTTAAGACAAATTCTTTCTCTTACTGATGCAGAGAAAGTAGTCCATGCTTTCATCTCCTCAGGACTAGATTTCTGCAATGCTTTGCTAGCTGGATCATCCAAGAAATAACTTCAGAAACTACAGTACGTCCAGTCCTGTGCTGCTCGTGTGCTGATCTGAAAAATCAGAACAGATTTTTCTTGTGCTGGAAGTCTTGCTTTGGCTACCAGTATTTTACAGGATTGACTTTAAAATTCTCTGGTTGACCTAGTAGGTGCCATGCGGTGTACCATCGATGTACTTTCAAGAATTAATCAATCACTTTGTCTGGATGGCTGTAGGTCCCTAACTGTTCCTAGGACCCCCAGTATTTGGAATATACTTCCTGATCGCACCGTCTGCTAATGTTTTTAAAACGTGCCTCAAGACTTACTTGTTCTTTACGTCCTTCAATTCCTGACATCATTCTTTTAATTTCTTATAATCTAATAAGTTATACATTTTATATGATTATTTTTCTGCTTCTGTACATTTTCTTTATGTAGGCCTTGGGACTGCTGTTTGAAAGGCACCATATCACAGTAAAATTGATTGATTGTTAAAGTTGAAAATGAACATTATTTATCAAGTGTCTTCAGAAGTTGTGTGAATAGTGAACACACAGATTCAAATCCTTTTCAAGTCACTTTTGCCAGAAATCAAGAACATTAGAAAGAGAAGTCTGTATATGCAGGTACAAAAATTCATCAACAGATATATAGTGTATATTTGCATTTCATTACACATGTACATAAGGTAAATTTCAGTTGGAAATGTTATTTTAAGAATTAAGAGATATTTTTAACAGATTAACAGATGAATTTTAAAATTAAAAAATGCACATTATTCTGTTTCTCTTTATTGGCCAATAGTTATTTTTACAATATCTTAAACCTTATGTGGTTACGAAGTTACTGTCAATTTAATAATAATAATAATAATAATAATAATAATAATAATACTGGCACCTATTTTCTCTGGGGGCAAAAATATCCTAGTTCTATGAAAAAAGTTATTTTTTTCAGAGATCAAGCAACTATTTGTAGGAATGTGGATAGTATAACATACTGTATGATCATTTTATTTTAGAAAGTCATATTATACCTTATAATATACGTAAGGTGCCACAGTGACCTACAGCACATTTGAAAGTTCACATGATGTTATTGTTATACATGGGATTGAGAAGAATTTAAGAAGATACTACACCTAATAATAACCTGCCAAATACTGAAATCTAAAATCTTTAAATCTAATGAAATTGCTTTTTTGGGGTCTGACAGGAATCATTAAAAAAAAACTGTTATGGAAAAATCCTAAACCATGAAAAATAATAATTTATTTGGCAATCTTGCTTTTCTTTTTTAGGTCCTCCATGAAACATTTCCACAGCATACATTTTTGATGAATGGCCTAATACAAGGTGTAAAGGTAGGAGATTTTCTTGATGTATTATTATTTCTTTTGTTAACTTCAGTTGAATATATTGGGGTTATTTCAAACACATATCTGCCAGCAGCCATATCACCCTGCAACTCACAACTGGCAGCCCACTTCCTCTGTGCAGCCCAATAGGTTAGTGCTCAGTTTCAGCCTTGTTTGGATTTATAAATATTTATAATTAACACACTACAAATGTAAGTGCCAGCAGCCATATCACCCTGCAACTCACAACTGGCAACCTAAGCAGGTGTGAGTCTGGTCAGTACCTGGTTGGGATAACAATTGAATTCTCGAGCAGTAATGCAGTGAAGTTGAATACTCATCCAATCTTTGAGGATTCAGATCTCCTGCGGGCTCAAAGAAACAGTTTCAGGCTGTTGCTGTCCAATCCACGCGGTCTGGCTAGGTGCCAGGTTGTGCTGTGCGGCTTGCGACGGTGCGCTGCTGATGCTCACTGACTGGCTAGTTGGTGTTGGCTTTAACTAGCACAGTTTGTGCACAGGAGAAAAGATGACTGTGGGTCCCAGCAAGTCAGGAAGAGGACCGGTTCGTTCCTGATGAAGAGCTAGTTCTGAATAGTGATTCAGCTGTCCACAGTTCTGACCTGTGCACGAGGCTTGCTACTGGTGCTAACCTCGGGTGGATCCTCTGGTTACTCTCTGGCAACCTCCGCTCTAGACTCTTAGAACAAAGGAAAGTTCTGGCACTCGGACAGACTGGCCGTTCCGTGGTTGTCCGGGCTGGGTCTCAGGATGGTCAGCTCCTGGGCCATCCTGCCCTGGAATTCTCCTTTGAATTCCCTTTAGAAAAGTCCACAGAATTCTCTCTCAGGCCCTCTGTGTTGCCTGTTTTTACCTGGAGGAACTTCAGCTTGTTCATTGGCTGAAAGTTCCATGGGCATCAGAGTCCCACGTGGGTTACTCGGCCCTACCAGTCCCTGATTGGTTGATCAAGGTGAGATATGAGTCACTTACTCCTGACACTTAAGAATGCAGTCCAGATGTCCATCTGGCACTCCCTAAACAGATAGGTGCCAATGGATGACCATTGATCATGATAGCCAGGCTTAGCTAAGTGCATCCCCCTGTGGGAGCTGTCCCTTATCAAAAGAAAACATCTTTAAATCAGCCTGCATGAATAGTTTCTCTGTGGCTGCACCACAGAGATGAACAGAGAGATGAGGCCTCATTTGGGAAAGCACAGCAACACTTAATTCTGTCTTATTAATAAGCCTCGCCGCTACAGGGAGAACATACAAAGTCCACACAGATACCACCTCAGGTCCAGAATTGAATCCATAGCCCTAACTGCCACCACATAAAGCAAACATCTGTACTCTAATACACAATTCCTAACTTAAAATGAGCTATATTTTTAGGTATAGGTGGTTTGTTAATTATTAATAAATCTATTGGTTTGTTAATTATTAATAAGAAGAAATTGAAAGTTCACTGTAATGAGTGATCATTCTGTACTCTGTATGTTTGATATAAATACTTTTTGATTGATGTTCTTCTTGCAGTACACATTTGAAATTAATAATGTAAAGGGTGTATGTACAACAAAGCAAAATAAAGTGAGGACTAGTGAGAATGCTGCGGTTACCCATGGCAGCTGCAGGAAACTAGGCGCTCCCGGGCCAGGCGTGAAAGAATTACCATGCTATGACAGTTATCCTTGCTTATTTACCCAAGCTGTGTCTAGTGAGAAAGAAGAGACGGGAGAGCAGAATTACCTTGGGTTTTTTTGTTGTTGAATGATTAATAAGTGTGTGCTAACCATGGAGGGGGGTAGAGAGCAAGAGAGATAACAGGCTCATTCTCTACTCTTTCTTTCACAGCCTGAGTAAAGTAGATTTCTTCATGCTTGTTGAAATTAGCATTGGGATCAGGGTAGAAGGGCTTCTGGAGTGGGGCTTCCTGGGGAAACAGGCAGATGGGTTGACACTGAACATAAAGTTTTATGTTTTATGTAATGTATCTAAATGTCCAGTTTTGTTTGTGCTCTAAATATCTGTAAATGTGTTAATTTTATCTGCTTTGGCAACAGTGTAATAAATCAGTCATACTAATAAAGCTTCTTGAATTTGAATATATCAGCAGCTAGCTGTTCAGGAGGTTGAGAAAGTAACTTCCCCTGTTTATAATCGGGGACAGAAATGAAATAAGAATGAGTGTAACATATATTTTAAAACCCTGTAACTAGAAAAATTAAACTTAAAAAAGTAACAAACTAAATCAAATATATCAGAAACTTAAAATATACAGTACAGTAAATAAATTAGAATTACCATCTAAAAAAAGTTTAAATACAGTGTATTTCATTGCCACCATTAAACACCAAATACAATACTCAGTAAATAAAAATAAAACCACTTGGATGCTTCCTGACATATTTGCAATACAGATTGCTCACCATTGTCAGTGGAAAAAACTCGGAAGTTACCACACGTGTGAAAGCAAAGTGGCCAACTCAGCCCCGGGTGATGTTGGTGGTTACTCCATTATGTTTATTCCATGCTTTTTATCTGCAGAAGTTATGTATCGTACTACTTGCTCCTTATGCATGCAACATAAAATCTTTTTACCATAAAAAATGTATTAAGAGACCCATGGGAGGTTTTAACATGAAGTGGAAATTTGCGTTAGCCAAGTCTTGGGGCGCAGCGGTGGCTCTGTGGCTAAGGATCTGCGCCTGTGGCTGGAATCCTACTCCGTTGGGCTCCTGAGCAAGGCCCTTAACCCCAACTGCTCCAGGGGCGCTGTACAATGGCTGACCCTGCGCTCTGACCCCAAGCTCTATCCCTGTCTGTGTGTCTCATGGAGAGCAAGCTGAGGTATGGGAAAAGATAATTCCTAATGCAAGAAATTGTAAAGGGTTAATAAAGTAATGTTATGTTATGTTATGTTATGTTATGTTATGTCTTGCGTAACCTGGGGAGAGTGTATATTTTCATGGCGTCTGCTTTTAAACTTCAGAAGTCTACCTAAATGAGTTTTTAATTTATTTCGGTTGTCTTTGTTTTAAATGGAAGAACTTTAACTTTTTTTCTACCTTAATATTTCAGGGCTTTTTATCATTCATGAGTGCCCCACTCATTGGTGCCCTTTCAGATGTGTGGGGCAGAAAGTCTTTCCTGCTGGTCACAGTGTTCTTCACCTGCATCCCAATTCCTCTAATGAGGATAAGTCCCTGGTAAGAGGCACTGGCTGAGACTGCTCTCTTTGTACCAAGTCACATGTATCTCATGGGGCATTATAACTGTGGCTCTTTTCCTTTAAAAGCTATTTTTGGTTAATTGCAGTTTGAAAACCGATCCTAGTAAAATCTACCTACTTTTGTGTAGAAAGGACTGCATGATGCAGAATTACATAGCTTGATAATCTGAAATATCTGATAGCAACCTTCATTTCCCAGTTATGTTTTGTAAAGTGTAATTACTCAATTTTTTTAAATGCCTAGAATAATAGATTTTGCATTATATAATGACAATGCTTGTATGCCCTGAAGTAAAATAAGATGTTACAGCAAAATGTATGCTTTCTCGTGAACTAAAGGTATTTCCAATGATTTCTATTAGGTGTTCTTGTTGGGTGTATATGCCGAGCAAGCAGTACTGTTTTATTAAGCATTTTGTAGTTTTCCTTGATATGGCTGCTGTTTCAGATACGTTTTAAACTAATATTTTTACATTTCTTTCTAGGTGGTATTTTGCTATGATTTCTGTGTCTGGAGTTTTTTCGGTCACCTTCTCTGTAATATTTGCATATGTAGCTGATATCACCAAGGAACATGAAAGAATCACAGCATATGGACTGGTAAGAAAATTATTATTTCTACTCAGTCCTTTCCCCTTTTTCTTGTGGCAAGTTAAATATTTTGAAATACAAATGCATTGAACGTAAGCCATTTGTTTGTACTTTGTATAAAAAACAACTAAATATGTTGTTGATTTGTATCTTATTTCAATAGGGATCCAAGTCTCTTACTTTCAATCATTCTTAGTCGAAATAGTATTTATAAACCTAATTGTACAAATTTAACTTTCAAATAACATAATGGAACAGTTTTTAGTTTATTTCTTTAAATATACTTGGCAAAGTAATTAAATCAAATGATCACCTCGATCATGTTGATCTTCTACTAGCCAGAGTGGACTGAACTTTGGACTTTCAAGTATATTCTTGCTGTCAGACTATGAACAGGTTAATAGGAAACTCTTAGCTTGGGTAAATAGGAGCAAAGTCAGTTTGAATGTAGCTCATATGATTCTTATCTTAGCAATTTGCAGGCCTCAGCTGTTCATATGATTAATTTTAACTAATGGCTCTTTTTATCCTTTAATGTCCTAATGCCTTTGGGGAATAGAGAAAACTAGTCTTTCTCTGAGTATTTGGCACCTTCTGGTGGAACTGTAGGTTCATTACAGGAACAGTGTTGTATAGCTCACCCCAGTGAGTATGCAGAAGGTCTTTCATAAATGACCTTATTAATTGTATACTTAAATAAAAATAAAAGGCGTGTCAATCTCAGTTCCTGAAGGGCCATGTGTCTTTTGGCTTTTGTTCCACCTGGAGTCTTACACTTACACATAGTGGGTCTAATTAATTATCCTTTATAATTGTAATATTTCTATCCTGGCTCCAGTGTGTTTAATAGGTAACTGTATTTTTAATAACTTAAAATATTAATTTTATCAACTGTAAAAGACCTAAGGAAACACCCTGTATGTGTCTACGTAATAAAATAATTAGGTAAGAACAAAAAACAGAAGACACCTTTCCATCCAGGAACTGAGATTTACACACCTGCTTTAGATGCAAGCAGTTGCCCTTTATGAGAGAACTAGGGAGGTTTCACAGATTTAAACATGTCAAAAAAGAAATGAAAAAAGACTGCAATTAGTAGTCTAGCAATATAATAAAACAATTAATGGATATTAGTCATTTTTAATAATAATTGCTTACACTTATATAGCGCTTTTCTGGACACTCCACTCAAAGCGCTTTTCAGGTAATGGGGACTCCCCTCCACCACCACCAATGTGCAGCATCCACCTGGATGATGCGACGGCAGCCATAGTGAGCCAGAACGCTCACCACACATCAGCTATCAGTGGGGAGGAGAGCAGAGTAATATAGCCAATTCATAGAGGGGGATAATTAGGAGGCCATGATTGGTAAACGCCCTGGGATTTTTAATGACCACAGAGAGTCAGGACCTCGGTTTTACGTCTCATCCGAAGGACGGCGCCTGTTTACAGTATAGTGTCCACGTCACTATACTGGGGAATTAGGACCCACATGGACCGTAGGGCGAGCGCCCCCTGCTGGCCCCACTAACACCTCTTCCAGCAGCAACCTTAGTTTTTCCCAGGAGGTCTCCCATCCAGGTACTGACCAGGCTCACACCTGCTTAGCTTCAGTGGGTTGCCAGTTGTGAGTTGCAGGGTGATATGACTGGTGGCACTTACATTTGTAGTGTGTTAATTATAAATATTTATAAATCCAAACAAGGCTGAAACTGAGCACTAACCTATTGGGATGCATGGAGGAAGTGGGCTTGGTAAACCTCTGTCTCTAGAATGTTACTCCTGCCAAACTTCAGTTTAGGAGGCAAAGAAAATGCTGCCAAACTCAACAATGCCATGTTTTTGTTCCCCGTACTGGAGATCAGTTTCTGTAGCTCTCATTTTTTCTAATGTTGATAGTTTTAAATTATATCTCTGTTTGCTTTCAGGTCTCTGCAACATTTGCTGCAAGTTTAGTAACGAGTCCAGCAATTGGTGCTTACCTCTCTGCTAATTACGGAGACAACTTGGTAGTGCTTGTTGCAACTATCATTGCTTTGGTGGACATCTGCTTCATTCTCCTCGCAGTGCCAGAGTCATTGCCTGAGAAAATGAGGCCAGCTTCCTGGGGAGCACCAATTTCATGGGAGAAAGCTGACCCCTTTGCTGTAAGTATTTTTCTTTTTTCGGAATTCAATTATAAGGCAGATGTTTTTTACACCAGAAATTTGGAATTGTTGGAGAAATGTTTAGATATATTTAGAACAAAGCTTAACCCTTAAACTTTATGGTGGTTAGGTGGATTTTACTTAGCTCCAGTTAACTCCAAATGTTATCTGCTTAGGCAAACACCACACTTAAAGGCGTATTAATTTTTATTCACATGTCTCCATATGATTTGTCTTGTCGTTTTGTGGAATATTTGACAGATTTTGCTCATTATATGGTCATAAATTAGCTTAGGGGTTGCAAAAATAATTCTTTCTAAAAAATGAATGGTTACAATGAGATCACCCTACAGTTAGGGTAAGACCTTGACCTTGATTAATGTTTTGCTACTAACATCCAAATAATCTACAATAGGAGTTGGTTATTTATTCCCTTCATCACTTATTAATAATATTCATTTGATATAACTTTTAGAAATAGCATTTGCAGTCATCATTTATGTTAAATATCTAGGTATTTCTTAAACCACTCAGAGCCCTCTATTTAAAATCAATCTTCAGATTTAAATCTGAAGCTTATCTTTTAATATATACAACTTCTAATGTCTAATCATATTGTTTTTCAGTGGTCTCTTAATATCTTTAGATTAGAGGTTTTTAATATTTAAAGTTTTAAATTTAGAGCTAATGTAATAAAAAGGAAGCTGCGGTAAACATAGTAAAAAAATCTTTTCAATTTTTTTTCTTTTCAGTCCTTGAAGAAAGTAGGGAAGGATTCCACAGTGTTGCTAATCTGTATCACAGTGTTTTTGTCTTACCTGCCAGAGGCTGGCCAGTATTCCAGTTTTTTCCTTTACTTGAGACAGGTGAGTAAATTTTCAGGTAAATAACGCCATAGGTTTCTCCTTAAAAAATTCAATCCTTCTCTAAATTTTCATCTAATTATTGTGACCTATAAAAGTAGTCTTTTTGAGTAAATTGCTGTTTAAAACAAATATAGACTTCTTTGTCTGAAAACGGAACTACTTTTTATCAGACAGCTTTGCCATACTATAGAAAATATTTTTGTGAGGCTGTTAAGAGTTCAGGTTTGGTAATTTGATTTTGTTTTTCTGCAGGCAAGTAAAAGAGCTCTTTAGGGAGCCCTTATTTTAGAACAAGGTCAGTGTAAAAAGTAGAAAGAATGACTGAGTCAGTAATTTGCAGAAGTTATTTTCTTTTCAGGCATCCATAATTTTCCATTTCCAACTAAACAGATGAACCAACATTTAAAAAACAACAGATTTTCTCATAAACAAGTAGTTTTGTTAAATTATGTGACTTGTCAGTTTTGCGTACTTTAGTTTAGGAAGTTGAATTGTTTTCAGTTTAAAATTTCAGCAAAAAACTTAATCTAAGCACAGTAAAACAGGAAACTTAACAGCAGAAGCCCCTTTTGACCACCCAAATGGTGAATGCACTTTTAGAAAACTGGCATTGTGCAATTGGAACTGCTTATGCTTAGTGTTCTTTTTGTTTGCTCAAATGTGTAATAGTAATAATGTTTAACGAAAATGTAAAGACTTTTTATTATAGTATTATGTAAAGACTTTTTATTATAGTATTATTATTACTGAAATATTATGCCAAAAACTCTTACAGATCAACACTGGGAAGGTATTTGTGAATTTGTAAAATGCTATTTGAACTTGAAATATAAGGCTGGAGACACTGACCTTGAAGACGCTGCTAACAGACAAATATACTGTTTTAATGATGTTTTAAAATTGTACAAAACATCACTAAGATATCTTGTAAAGAATGTAAAGAATGTTGTGTACTGCATTAGTCTTGAAGATAGAAAGGAATAAAGGGTCTTTATTCAAGTATTCAAAATCTTCAAAGGTTTTGGCAAAGACTGCTCTAGGCTTCTTAAGGATCAACAGTAAAATGCAAACCAGAGTGGAAATGTGTTAAATTAGGGTTGGGGTAGTGTAGACCAAGCTACCCAACTATTGTATGTTGTTATGGCTGAAACTTTGACTTAAACGTCTGAATATTATCCTCCAATCAATTATCTCTTAGCACCCAAGTGAGATCAATCTGCTAAATGGCTTCATTTGTAACCATTCTTATACTGTCAGTTTATCATAGTGCATTGAGCTTCTTTCAGTGAATACAAGGTCTGTTAGGAGCAGCAACGTGGACAGTTAGTCACCTTCTCTAATCTCCTTCAAATCAAGACTCAAAACCTTCTTCTTTAGAAGACCCTTTACTAAACTGTTTCCATTCTTTATCCCTCTGCTCCTACTTTAATTTGTACCACCATCTACTCTGTGTATTGCAATTGTGTTTTATCTTGTGTATTCTTTTAATTTATTGTTGTTGCCATTCTGTAAAGCGCTTTGAGAAGCTACCTTTAAAGGAGCTATATAAAATAAAGTTTATTATTATTATAATTATTGGGATATTTTTCTATGTAGTGAGGATAATTTCAGGACTGTTACTGTGTTTGGACATGAACCACTATAATTCAGTGAAAAGCAAGTGTGTTTTACACAACTAGCAAATTGTACTCTAACATACAGTATTTAACACCGTGAGTATCCTGAGATCTTGTACTGGAACCACAAGGACAGATGTTATGCTTTTCTCTTTGTGCTCAACAATTGAACAAATATGAATATGTAATCTAATCATGTTATCTGTATTGAACCTTGTTTCTATTCTTCATATTTATAAATGCCTAAAATTAGACAAAGGCATTAAGGTGGCTTTACATACAGTAGCCCTGGAGCTGCCAGTGAGTTGGTAATGCTTCAGTATCATGCAAAATTCCTTATGTTAGGGAAGAAAAAAGGATGCAATTCAAAAGCAGCATATCGTAGATATATATTTTCTCTTTCAGGTTATTGGATTCACATCAACTACTATAGCAGCATTTATAGCTGTTGTGGGGATCCTTTCAATCATAGCCCAGGTACTTCAGTAACTTTTGATGAATTTCATATTTATGTTAAATTATGTTAGGCTGTTTTTTAACTTTCTATTTTTAAATAAGATGGTTCTATGTTGCAACACATTGCTTTTTGTTTCTCTTTTCCCAGTACCATATATTTCTATAAAGTGATAAGGTGCACCGAAATAAAAGCAGTTTGAAGATTCCATTAAATGCATATGATAACTCATACATTAATAGATAACATTAGAGAATTAATAGGGTAATCACAGATTAGGAAGAAGAACAACTAATTCATTTTTCCTCTCATCACAGACAGTTTTTCTTAGCATTCTAATGAAGACCATAGGGAATAAAAACACAGTGCTGCTTGGGCTTGGGTTTCAAATGCTCCAGCTGGCCTGGTATGGATTTGGATCTGAACCATGGTAAGTTCACTGTCCACCCTGAGATTCTTTTCATTTTTGCTTGGTTAACTGTTGTTCCTTTAGGATGCAGAACTGTAAACATTTGGAAAGTAAGATAGATAGATAAGACTTTATTGATCGTGTAGGGAAATTGATGTGTTACAGCAGTCCAGCCCAAGACAAGCAAAAACAGACAACTGAATAGACTAAAAGTTATACAAAATAAATGTGTCTGTGCAAAATATGATGATCATAGTCACTGCTAAAACAATAAAATATGTGCAAAATGTGCATAGGTTTATACAGATTGATTGTCCAAAAAGTACAATGGTGTCCATAGACGAGCAAATAAAGGGCTAACAGTCCTAGCTAGGGCAACGTTATACAACCTGACAGCTGCCGGGAGGAAAGACCTGCAGAAATGTTCCCTTGAACACCGTAGCTGGAGCATTTAGATTATGATAAGGAAAAGTAGATAAACAAAAGTTTATACAGTTTATAATACAAATTCTTTTGCAGGCATTTTTAGTGATTTTTAGTTTTTTTCTGTCATCTCCTTTTTCAGTTCAATTAAGTATATTTTCTTTATACCTCTTAATGGATTCATTCTGAAACCCAAATATTATTGTGTGCATTTACTGCAACAGTATAATTCTCTGTTTCTCTTACCACATGAGGCATCTGAACTTCAAATAGTTCATCCTTCTTTTTCATAAAAGGAAACAACTGAACTCTATGAACTGCTACACATCTTCTTTTCTGCTTTATATAGCAACCTTTCTGTACAACAATACCAAAGCACTTCACATGAGTAAAAACAGATTTAAAAAAATACAGTGCATTTTTGAAAATTGCATTAAGCAAGCATCTTAACATAAAACCAAAGCTATAAAAGTAAGCTTTCAGTTTAGCTTTAAATGTGCTGATAGTGTCAGTGTCCCTTATGTTCTTTGGAAAATTGTTCTACAATCTAGTTGCCAAATGGGATAATGTATGGTGACTAATATGTCAATTGCTGTTTGCCCTCTTGTACTCAAAGTAATAGAGACGCTCAGTGTCCAGAGATCTAAGACTAAGCTTCTTAAAATGTAGAAATAAATCGAACCTATCTCATACTTTACATATACAGCCTTTTGTTTTAAAAACAAAATTCTGATTTGGCTCTCAACTCCACCAGGAGCCAATGCAGAGATGCTAAGACTAGTGTTTTGAGTTCACAAGGTTTTATTTTAAACTTCACGCACCAGAATTCTTAGTATATTGCAACTTAAGAGCATGTTTTTCAAAGACTAGGGTGAAAAGCTTTGCAGTTATCTGAGAAAACACAAAAGCATTTTTTAGCTTTTCTGCTTTCATCTTGGTAAGACAAGAACAGATTGAGTGGTATTACAATAGTATTATTATAAACAACAATTCAGCAATTCTTTTTGATCATTTATAAAGGTTTTATCGTAGACTGGTTGTTCTGTATAGCTTAGTATCACACAAGATTGTTAAGTTGCTTTCTGAAATAATACTGTAATTGCTGCTATTGTATCAAACATTATTGCTACAAATGTGTTTTTTTTCTGCCTAAGCACGGCGGTACAGGAAGCCAGAGGTTTGAATTATTTCCATTTTAACCACATTCAGGTGTCTTGCAGGTTTTTATCACTTAATTACCACCTTTCATATATTAACTATATTCTTTACTTTTGATGTAGACAGACTGCTGTTCTTGGAAAGACATTAGTGAACCCTGTAATACCATTCTTTCTAGAATGCAGATTAACTGGAAATTTACTTTCTTATCAATGTCACAGGATACAAACAGATCTACAAACATACAAACAGAATAAATCTAGCTCATTTGTTTGCTGGTAGATGAGTAATCCTAAGATCTCATCCAGTCATTTCTTTAAAAGGTGTCAGCTTATGCAACATAACTGGATAGTTTTTTCTTCAGATTCCCACCACACTCTCTGCACTGACTCAAGGAAACTGTGACTCTGTAATCACTGTTAATCAATAACACCAGTCTTTGAAATGTTCAAAGAAATGGTGTTGTCTTAATTATTGGAAAGTACTGCAGCGTTAATGCTTTAGTTATGTTTTTCATTGTAACAGGGTCATTGTAACTATGTCCAAATGCTTTAAGAGCATGAGATAATATCCTTAGCACTATCCCAAGTTCAGGAGAAAACAATTTGTAATTTAATCTGTCCATGTGTCATCAAAGCAGGAATTGTTGTAGTTACACTTCACAAGGCAGCAGTATTATTTTCTATTATATTTATCTTGTTATATTATAACAATAATTTAATACCATATTCTAAATGTGTTCTTTGTGGTGATTGTGACCACAAAGACTTCAGTTAAAATATGTCTTGGATCATTAGACTGGTACATCATTTTGCAGGTAATTCTGAACCATAAGTTGTGCATAAAAACCTATCATACAACAGGTTTTTTTTACATTTAGGTTTCATTGAAGTTGAAAGTGGTAAATGGAAAAACTTAAGCTTGCGATAAACATGGATGTATGGTACAAGATTCATAAGGGGTATTTGGAGAAAACTATGATTGAACAACTACAGTAGAATTCAAAGACAGATAACAGTGAGGTTATAGCAAATACTTTATTTTTTTTTCCAGCTCAGTCATCTCCGTTATTTTATTTATCTAATAAATAAAGCTCTATAGTAATGAAAAAAGTAGATTTGTGTAGCAAATTCTGTTCTTATCAATAGGTAATATGGGAATAAACATTTTCAAATGTTTTAATAGTCTATAATGACCATAAATCAAATATATATAATATATGATAAATCTAATAACCCAGTAGATTTAATGACCATAAATTATTTATTACAAGCCTTTTGTTTTCATTCAATAATTTGACATTCCTGTAACTTATTTCATAGGTCATAAAATGTACAATATTAGTATTTAAACTTGTATACTCCTATGTTTATTGTGATTGAACATATTGTGATGTTTATTTTGAGATTTATGCTTCTTGACAGTATTATTAATTTTCAGGTTTGTGGATTAGTATTTTTACATTTAGAACATAGTCTGCAGTCAATTGGGGAAAAAAAAGATCAAGTGGGCTGTCCTAAGGTAAATGTGTCTTCCCTTCATGTTGGTGACCCATAGTTTGTGTCTTGCAGGATGATGTGGGCTGCAGGGGCAGTGGCAGCGATGTCTAGTATTACATTCCCCGCAGTGAGTGCACTGGTGTCTCGCAGCGCAGAGCCTGATCAGCAGGGTAAGACAGATCTCTGCTCAGCTTCACTTCCACTACAGCAGCAGTCGCACTTGCAGAGATTCTGTGTGGCAAGTGAGCCATTTTCATTACAGTTGCAGAAATCCACTGGTGTTCTTGTTTGAAGTAAGAATGAATAATTTCTTTGAGGCTGAATTTCAGTTGATAAACTTATTAAAATTTAAGATGCCTGAGACCCTATTATCCAAAGGAGAAGTGTACGTCTTTTTTTACTGGGCTCATGCAGTAATGGGCCAGTAAAGGTACTCATGCAAGTGCAGGCTGATCAACTCTGTCCCTCTCTGGTTCTGCAAAGGATTATCCAGATGACAAAGCACAATTTTCTGAGTGTTGTCTAGGGTGTGGCTGGACTTATATGATCAGGGCTCTCTTGGTTCCAAGTCGAACGGTGACTTATGAGATGTATGCAGACTTGGCGTTTCTGTTGACCAAAAACAAATTTCTCCAAGTAAAACAGAACCTCCTGCACATGACTGTATTGCTGTATTAAAAGACAAATGAGTTGAAGATCGGTGGCTTAGATAGTTTTTCTATACTTGCTAGTATTTTGTATGTGTAGCTGTAGGGTTAGTTATTGTGAGTCGGGAAAAAACACACTTGGTGATTCCAGGTTGGTGGGGCATACAACAAAATACTTACATTGAAATAAGTACCGCTGCTGCTATTGTTCTTGTCAATAACTTGTATTACTTTATGTACTGTAGCATGTACATCATTGTACATTGTAGTTTTTGTACTGTATATTCTCATAGTTAAATTTATTACGCTAACTAAATTGTATTTAGTTCCCCTAAGTACCACAAGCCCTTCACTTTAAAACAAACAGCCTTGACACAGATGATACCGTTCTAAATAAAAGCCAGTCATGTAATCAAATTTATACATTCTAGCTTGGACCTGAGCATCACGTAGGGACTTGTGCACACGGTTGCGGAAAATGCTTATATTTTGGTGTCGAGGCGTTGCAAAGGAGAAAAAAAGAATCAATTTTTTAGCATTTGTTTGAATATGTGACTAGCAAATCAATTAATCAAAACAATTCTACCATGAACCGCAACAGCAAAGAAGAACAGAAATGAGATTATGATATGATATTATTATTCTGACAATTTGGGAGTGCATAATAAGTAGTGAGTTTAAAGTCAAATAAGTAGTCACTTGAAAAGACTTTGTGTGAATCATAGCATTACCTAGGAAACCTTTGGGGCTGTGTTTTTGAGCTCCAGAACACAATAATGGACACAGTTTAAACAATGTATCCTTTCTCAGGCTGAGCTTTCATTTTTCACTGAATCACCAAGTATTAATTTCATTTATCTTACATGGCATGTCTACTGGCATAGTAAAGGTTTTGAGTTGTGTATGAACCAAACATGAAAGAAGCAATGTATTTCTGTTGGAGTTTGATATGTAAAACATATGTCTAAACTTCTCAGGTTAATTTAATTGTGTTGTAAAAAACTGTCTAATAGAGTAATTTGTTTTCTATGAAGCAAGAAGTTCATGAGTGATAAGTTATGTGAAATTAACAAAGCATTAAAATGTCAATAGAAAAACCTTCTCTTAACCTTCTTACCCTGCCTAAATTTCACTTTGTTTCAATCTTGTGTACTTAAGTACTAAAAAACATTCTTACCTACTCCAGTTTCCCCTTAATACAATTAGTGAAGTACATTTTCACTTCTCCACCTGATCTCCACCTGATCAGCTAATTGAATTCTTTGGGGCTTTTGGCACGTAATTACTACCGCACTTCATGTGCGGTGAAGAGGATGTGCTCCTTAATGTTAAAGTGTTATGGGATCCTTTGGGAATAACAAACACTATAGAAATGAGAATTATTATTCCTTCCTTGCTATAGAAATGATATGCAGTATGTCTTGGGTAATACCCCCATCTAGTGGCCACTTTAACTGAACTGTAACTTGTCTTGTTTGAGCTGTTTTCATGTTTAGGTTGCATTATTCTAACTTCATTCCGTTGTTCTAAGTCTGTTTAATATAAACCATATAATATGGAAGTTGACACATTTCCCATTCTGCACATTGCTGTATACAGTATAATGACAGATACAAAGGTATTTGTCCAGCTGCATTAAATATAAAAAAATGATTACACTGCAAATTCCAAACTTCAATTAAAAAAATAATAAAATTTGCATGTGAAAATAGGGTGTTCATCAAGTTGTTACTGAGTTATGACCGAAGCACCTATAATGCAACTTTTAAACTTGGACTTGGTTAAAATAACATTCTGGGCTGACTGTTGATGTTCTTGATTCCTTAACTTGTATGAAATCTACCTTAAGTCTTGTGTTTCTCTGTATTAACAAAATTTATAGCCTTGTATCTAAGCATCTTATTATCATTATCATTGTTATCATTAAGTGTTATCCAGAAACATGTGCAGTTACAGAAAATCAATACAATAAGTGAATGAAGAAAAATTAAGAAAAATAAGTCATTATTAAGCAAGGAAAATGCAGTAAATCACATTCTTTAAATGTATAAAGATGGATATAATAGTATGCTGAAGTAGATAATTGAACAGCACAAAGTGTAACATAGATACCATATATACCATATATACATATACAGGACTGTTGGTAGAAACAATAAGGGTGGGCAACAGATTCCTTAGTGCAGTTAATTGAAAACAGTTACGGAACAAAATAGATTCAGTGAATGATGGATAAGGTTAAGTGCAGGTTCTCTACTTGTAACTGAAAGGTTATGGATTAAAATATTTGTTGGTATACTGCTGTTGTACCCTTGAGTAACAGTAGAATCTCAAGCATTCCAATTGATTGCTTAATTAAAATGCCCAGATAAATAAATGAATATGTATGGACGTCACTTCAAAAGTATCAGATGATGATAGTCTTGAGAAGATGGCATAATTCTGACCTTTGATTATGAGAGTGGGGGTAGAAGAGAGAAATAAGGGTTTTCACCTTCTGTGTTGAGAGAATGATAAACAGGAGCATAAGTAATTAATTGGATCCAGGAGCTAGTGATGGAAGCAGAGGAAGAGAATGGCATGAGAAGAATAAAGGAGAGGGAAGAAAGTCGAACAGCAGAGCAGATGATCTTACTGCACTATATATGCTCATTGTGCCAAAGAAAAGTATAGCAAGATTGCTGTGGAATAATATAGAATACTTTCATTGCATGATATGGGGAGATCTGTAAGCTGTTGTATAACCTGCATTTATTCATTTATGCACCTCATTTGATTTTTATGTTCCTACTATAAGGAATTTGGGGATAATTGGCTGAGTTTAGTTTTAATGTGGTTTTTGTAAAAATCTGAATATGAGTCCAAGCAATCTTGAAAATGTTGTTTTTAAAGTGATTTTGATTTTAATCAAGAACTCCTAATCAACAATTAAGGCTTGTTTTATGCAGGTGAAAACCCATTGAAAATCAATTTAATTCCTGTTTTTGTGCCTCTTTAGACATTAGTATAATCATTTATTCTCTTCATCTCAGTCTAATGTCTTTGCAGTCTATATCATGATGTTTGTGTTTGCAAAATAAATATGGAAATATGTTTCCATTTACAAATAAATTTAGCATTATAAATTGAAAACACTCATATTCCCACTACTCTCATTATAAATAAAAGTTCACATTTGCTTTGAAAATCTTCTTTTAAGTTAGTACTTATGTAATTATCCTTAAAACATTCTTGACGATATCAGAATTGCATTTTAACTTTTACATTCATAAACATTATAAACTGAATAATAGAGAAACAAAGAGAAGTTCCCAATTGAGAAAGAATGAAAAATAAATCAATACTGAATTTGTGCATGTACTTTTTCCTAACACTTAATTTAAGTTTCATAAAAAGTACTTATTTTTTAAGTTTTATTAAACAGTTTGTTTTTTATTATGTTTTGATTATTGCTCCCAATCTGATGAAACATTACAACTTCCGGTTCATGTTTCCTTAATTTGAGCAACTTTGTAAAATTAAAGGGGTCTGTAAATCTGTGCATATGTTTTATTAGGAGCCAATTTGAGTTTTGGAAAAAAACCCAGAGCAAATAATCATGGGAGGTGCAATTTGGACTCCTTCTCGAGTTATGTAGTTCCTGAAGCATAGTAAAATATCAAATCAGTTCTGTGCGAGAGGCTGGAATTCACAGGGAGATGAAAGGGAAGTGAACAGTTATGATGCCTGCTATCAAACATGGTTGCAGTTTCTTTTGTAATGTGGATAGACTTTGTCCACAAAAGGCTACAAAGCAGTGGGTCAGTTAAGATAATGATACAGACTACCAGTCTATACTACTGACTTTAAAACCAGCATGCAACAGACTTGTCTACAACCACATCGGGCCAACATTAGTTTTTCAGTTCCAGTTGCCTCTTCCCGGTTCCAGTTTTGTGAATCTAAAAAAAGAAATTGTAATTGGGAATTTTTCTTAAAGGGAGAAATGGAATCAACCTAAACCCTCACTGCAGCAAAGAGGGAAAAAAGGCTTTACTAACTCACTCTTTCCACTTTTATACTGCTTGCATTAAAACATTTAGTTGCTTAATGGTATAAGTGTATTCAGAGTTACAAAAAACATGCTCTTTCTAATAAAAGCCAATTGACTGACATGCTAGCTACCAATGTTGTGTATGCAATTAAATTTAATTATGATACATTTTTGTTTGCAATGAAGTTTAATTCTATATGACCTGTTATTTTTAGAGCTTTATAATTGTTTCATTGTTGCAAATGTCTTTAAAAATATGATTTATCTTATAACAGAACATAACAGCAACATAACATAAAACATACGTAGTTTTGATAAGTAAAATGCACTAATGTTAAAGATAATTTATCTGGAATGTTAATGACTTTAATCATTATAATAATCTTCCCATCAGGAGTTGTGCAAGGGATGATAACGGGAATTCGAGGCCTCTGCAATGGATTGGGACCAGCTCTCTATGGATTCATTTTCTTCCTTTTCAATGTGGAATTGAATGAAATTGATCCAGTTCAGAATGAGAAAAACACTGTTATGCTTGATCCAACTGATGAGGTATGAGAATAACTCTTTTTTAAATTTATATATAGTGTTTAGATTTGTTGAAGGTTTCTGTTATTTCCAGTTATTTTTGGATACAATTGTAGGAATTAGTTTTGTTTCATTTGACCTCTAGAGATCAGAAAATGATTGTGTTTATTATTTTAAACCCACAGCACATTGCTGGCATCAAATGTATAAGCATGGGTCCTGCAAGGTGGATTTTTTGGTGATTAAGTTTAATTAAGATTAAGTGTGACAACCAAATCTTTTCAGAAGTGTTTCATAACTACATACATCAGCATAAAGCAAATTAATATTTTTTCACAAAAAGATTAATCTCCTGTTTCAGTTTCAAGAGGCACCAAAGTCCATTGATAATTTATTGGTTCTCCAGCAAAATGCAATCACAAAACAAGAAGTAGCCAAAATACATTAAAACCGTTGTCCTCTATCTTGAATAAAAACAAATTTCCAAAGTAAAATGAAATCACATTTTCATGCAAACAGTATGGGGCCATTACCAGTGCTTTTGGACTATGTCTTCAAATCGACTGACTAATAGGTATATAAAACCCAACTAATAGGTTGAACTATCAGTTATTCGGATAATTTTGAGCATTCAGAGACTTGCGCTTCTCTCTATACAATGCACCTATAGTTTTATTTAAGTTACGTTTGGGCCTTAGCCAAGACAATTTCACTATACAAAATACTTAATAAACATCCTCAAATGCATCTAATTCTTTGAATTCGTTATTCCATGTTAAGTCACAATTATCATCACTGATAAGCAACTGAATTTATTTTGAACATATTCAATAACCTATCAGGCATCTCAGGGGAACCTGCAGTAGCCTTGAAATGTTGTCACATCTTTAATGATACAGTATGTTACTAAGTTAAAAACCAAGTTAATTTATCATGAAACTCCAGGTGGATATTCAGTATAAGAAACACAATAAAACCTGAAAAACTGTGTAGTTTTTAGTATGATATTTATAAGCAGGACATTGTCTACTTATTTCTAAGTGATTGGTTTTCATATTTATTTATAGCATGACAATCATTGTCTTAGAAAAACTTGACACAGCCCTTCCTGCAGTCTTTTAATAGGTTCCTAAATTACTCATGAAGGATGTTAAGCCACACCTCGATGAAGAATTCCTGCTCTCTCAGGATTTTAACTTTTTGATCAGTGCATTTGTAAGCATCTTTAAGCTTAAAGACACAAGGTGGCACAAGTTTTTGACCTGTATGTTCTGATAAACTTTGATTTACTTTGGTTAAACTTTGGTTTGTTACCATTTGTGAACCAGGAACAGGGGATGGAAATCAACGTTAAACCAGAACAAATCCAATTTTATGTTTCAGTGATGAAATTTTCAACATGAACTTCAGTTTTCTGTGCTAATCACTCCCAGTGAAAATGCCCAAAAGATCAATTTGTGTTTCATTCATTCACTTGTTAACTTGAGCATCAGTTAATTACTAGTAGATTCTTGTCTTTTCTTTTTATGTCGCCATGGAATTCTTCCACGGTTTCATGAAGTCAGACTTGAATAGTAGGCTATTGCTATATGTTAACAAGTGGAGCCTATATGAACTATTCATATATGTTTTTAAACAGTACATTTAACGTAAAACCAAGGTCCTGACTGTGGGCGTTTCTCGAAAAAAGTAGGGGTGTGACCCCGGCGTCTTGGCCAAATTTCCCATTGGCCCCTACCAATCATGGCTTCCTAATAATCCCCATCTATGAATTGGCTTCATTACTCTGCTCTCCTCCCCACTAATAGCTCATATGTGGTGAGCGTTCTGGCGCACTATGGCTGCTGTCGCATTATCCAGGTGGATGCTACACATTGGTGGTCGTGGAGGAGAGTTCCCATTACCTGTAAAGTGCTTTGAGTGGAGTGTCCAGAAAAGCGCTATATAAGTGTAAGCAATTATTATTATTATTATTATTCTTTGATATATAGCTCTGTCTCATTTGCAGTATCTTTCTTTATTTTATAGAGATCGATTATCTCTGGTCCACCATTTCTTTTTGGAGCATGTGCAGTTCTTCTTGCTTTCCTGGTTGCCTTATTCATTCCTGAACACAACAGCCTCTCTGTAAAGACTTGCAACACCCGGAGACATAGCAACAGCATCACTAGCACCCAGAGCAACACCCCCCTGCCTGGCAGCGACGAGGACATCGAGCCACTGCTGCAGGACAGCAGTGTGTGACAGCCACGTTGCCTTGTGACAGTGTCCCCCTTCTGCGCTGGTGAACAAGGGACTGAAGAATCAGGGTACTGCTGAAAACAAGACGAGATGCAGAATGTATTCTGAAGTCTAGCGTGCTTGTCTTTCATGCAAATCGGCAGCCATGTTGCATTGCTGCCTACATGAAGAAAAGTGTTTCTGGAGGTTGCTAAACAAATATGAACTGTTATTTATGTTATATCATCATTATTCCAGCTTTTTTTGTTACCTGATGGCAGGCAGTTGGAGAATTTGAATGTCCCTGTACCTGTATTTTGACATGCTGAGTCTTGTGTGAGTTATAAGAATTATCGCAGTGAGGACTTGATGGTTAATATTTTCAGCGAAGCAAACTTGACCATCTTAAAAAAAAGATCTCATCGTTTTTAGGGAGGGAGGCGAGCTTTGGTTCTTTTTATTTCTAAGGGATTCTGCTTGGTAAATTATATTCTGACTCCTGCAAGGACTTTTTTTTTGTTGTGCTTATAAACCAAGCTGAGACAAAAGGTCAACAGATCTACATTGTGGAGATCTCATATACATTTACAAATGTACTTTTATATTGATGAGACTTATAGCATACTTTAACTAAAGAATTATCAATATTTTTTACTTAGTAAGTATGTAAGGATACTTCTCATATATATATATTTTGCTGGTAACCCCTGCATTCCTCAATGCCAATCTGAAAACAATTGATAAAACAAATAGTTCTTATTTTATGTTTAATGAGTAGAAATTACTGGACAACAAAACTGAAATCAAACTATATATATTTTTTTTTCTATGCCTTATGGTAATTTTTGCTGGATGCATAGCAGTCAGCACCTTGAGATGATGGTGTAGATGTTTACAAAATGTTGAACTCTATGCATTAATCTGTACCATCAGATCAATTTTTATGTAGCTGAGCGCTTCAGTGATGACAAGTATGGCTTTCAATACCTTTTAAAAAGTTTGCTGTAAAATAGCACATAATATAGAATTTGGATTTGAATATTTTTTTTATGCACACTATAATTTAATAGCGATGATGCAGTGTCGCAAAAATTCCAAATCTGGAATTGTGTGCTGAAAGGAAGTTAACGAGGTATGCTGGTGGGAGGTTAATAATACTTAGTAGACTAAAATATTGAAAATCATTTTTTATTTTGTATGTCTGATCAAATTATTTGGGATTTTTTTATATTTAAAAAGATAAGTCTTGCTCAAAGCTTTTTAAAGAGCAGTAGTATTTTTAAGATTGAAATCTCATTTTATGGTCACTGAAAGATTACTTTTTTAAAATATAAAAGTAATAAGGAAGCTTACATTTCCTGAATTTAAACACCCTGAGTTTCACCAGATACCTCAAGTCTTTGTTTTCCCTGTTATTAATTTTAATTTACCTTGGTTTTGATACTTATATCCAAAATAAATGTTATCCATGATTTGAAAATATTTTTATGTGATGAGATCTACTTGAGGATGCAAACTATGCAGGCAAAGTAAAAAAATAATAAAGATATAAGTAACTCAGTTTCTGTTTTGACTCTTATTATTTTAAAAATATCAGATTTTTAGGCAGCCAGCTCTTTCCTTTGTTTCTTCTAATGTGGAAACTTTTAATGATTGCCTGAGAAATCCAAACACCACATTAAGGTTTAGACTAACTTCCACTTTTTCTCCCAGTATTTCTCCCATACTATTGGGCATTAAGCCATGCATTTACAATGTTTTAAAATCTTAGGAATAACTTGTTTTGTAGTCAGTGTATTGGAATGATGTACTCTACCTACTGTTCCATTTTTATTGTTAAGTTTATTGAATGTATTTTAGTTGACCTTATGCATAGCAAAGCCTCTCCTTCCACTACATCTTTGTGCATGCAGTAACTGTGCTTTGCTCCCACATTGTCTGCTTGCATTGCCTGCTAACAGCTGTCCCCAGATTGTGATTAGTGCAGTGTTATGGGTGTTAGGGAATTCAGCCACATGGAAAACAAAATTATAATGAAAAAAAAAACATACCATGGGAGCTGCAACGTATTTGACCCTTCACCTTTTTGTCTCTGAACAGAAAACCTCTCTACACTGTGCAATGATGTGAAAGGATTCATTCATCACTTCATTGCACATGTGATGAGACTCCATTTAAAAATAACTGTCATGCACCTTGTGTTAAACATCAGTATGTGAATGGGCTTACAGGGTGATGTCCATATCAGTTTTCACACTTAGATTTGTTCTTAATTTACTACACGAGTTCCAGGCAGTTTAATAGATGTATCTGGAATTCTTTTGAAGCATTTCTCCCATAAAGCTGAGTATGGTATTTCTTTATCCCTTTTAGCACACACATTGAAGATCTAAAGATGTTAAAACCAATTAATCGTCTCTAGTAACCTTCTTTTAGTGAAACTTTATATAAAGGTGACATAATTATGCATTTTTAGTGAGATGGCTGTCTATTCCTAAAAGCTGGTTTCAGGTTAGTTAATTTTTTTCTATATTACTGAACCTAACAGTAGAGAGATGTCCTGTTCTATTCTGATCTGTGTTTTGCACAGATTGTATTGGGTTATGTAATGTACTTGTATATCGTATGAAAACTATTTCAATCCTAATTAATTATATGGTTACAGAAAGCTATATTTTTCAAACAATGTAGAAACCTCTGACCAACATTATTTAGTATCCAAATCTTATTTTTGTGAAGAGTACTTTGTGTACTGCTGTTGCATAACTTTGCAGTAATCGTCATTTAAACAATGTCTATGCTTTGTTCCGATGAACTGCAACGTTGCATTTGATTATTTATTCTGCAGTGGCAGAGTACTTGATGCATTTATTTGCAGCACCCCTCATCTTTTTGAATTTACATTCAAATGTGCCTAAAATGTAGATGTAAATACAAAAATGCAAAAAATACTATATTGTACACTGAGCAGTCGTTAATGAAACGAGTATTTTAATTACGGCAAATGATGTGTGCATTGCTTTACATATTTGTAATGGCATTGTTTTGTCTTGAACAGTAAATTATATATAAAAAGCAGCAATAATAAAAAAACAAAATTTATACTTGTTTTTGAAGTCCTTCCATAAAGGATCTGGTGTCCACAAGATGGCAGTGCATTACAGAGAGATTCTCCAGAAGTCTGAAAGATGGCTGAAGTGTTATGAGTTTGCTGTTAAAACAAATATATAACATAGAAAGATATATCATATAAAATACATTTGTGGGCATGTAAATCTGGTGATTTTTTTAAATCACCTGACAAGATGCCTTTTTTGTCAATGTGTATGGCCTTATTTAAAGTATTTTTATATTTGTTATTGAAATATTCCAATATGAATCAAATTCAGTTTGAAGTGTTATAAAGTATATTCTAGGATCAATTACAAGTTAGGGAGAGAGGTTTCACCCACTGGATGGCACTTAAGCTGGTGTAACTGGCTCTGCTTCTATACAGTGGTTTCCAAAATTATTTTTTAGACAACTAAACATCAAGTAACAAAATGTTTTAGTGATTGGATAAGCATTTCTTACTTGAAAATGTCTAAAAACGTCTAAGAAAGCCTGAATAGCAAGGAATATTTGTTATAAAGTCCAGGAAACATGAGGATCACATTTATTCACACCCTTGTATGCATTTTGTAAATCTGCTAACTAGACACCTCCTGTAGTGTGATACGTGATTCTGGCAGTTCATAGCAGAAATTCATGAACATTTCTCCCATGTAGAATTGCTCTCAATCCTTCTGATACTTTGGTTTCTGTTAGTGAACTGCTATCTTGAGTTAAAATCACAAAGGTTTGGCTGAGGTAAAGGTAAAGGCTGAAGTCTGGTGATCGCAATTTACAGTCAAGAACATTTAGTTTGTGAGCAATTGACCATTTCTTTGTCAATTTGGATGCACTGTATACTGAATGCTTTGGATTATTCTCACGCTATAATTTTTGGCATGGCTTCAGATTCTTGGCAGAAAGAACCGTGTTGAACCTGTATGTCCCAGTACATATTAGATGTTATATGCCCATGTCTTCTATCTTGAAAAGAGGTCCAATGTCCATAACACTAAAATGTAACAAATCCCCAAATATTTGAAAGTGAAAATGAATGTTTTCTCAACCTGCACTTCATCATTTTTACCCTAAACATAATCCTGATGTGCTTGTTCAAAAAGCTCACATCATCTTGAAAAGATTTTGTTTCAATTGTCATTCAAATTCAGACAGGTAAGTTTTAACGATTTGTTTAGATTTCAGGTTATTTTGGAGATCTCCAGCTGTTGCCTTTGGACTTATGATCACCTCCCAAACCACTTATCTGAAAGGCCGTGATGGTAGAATCAACCTGAGTCCTATGCGTAGTAGGGTTTCCACCAAAACAGTAACCTCAAATTGTAGATACTACAGTAGAAAACTCTATTGTGGACATAAGTGACAATTTGCCTGCAGTCTTTGAAGAACTCTCTGACCTTAACCGTGTGCATTACCTGCTTTTATACCGAATAGAAACAGAAAGCCCTTTGGAAGCCTCTTCAGAGGCTTCAATTACACTTCCAAAGTGCAGAATTTGTTTACATTTATTTAGATGAATACATTTGAAGTTTGAAAAATGTCAATCAATTATGTTAAATATGTCTTTGCTCTTTGCGGTAATGTTAACAATGTTTGCCGTAACATTAATTGGATTGTTTAAATGCGACACAATAGCACAATCAATCAATAATTTGACTAAGATGTTTTTGTTAATATTTTTTGATAGGGGTCTGAATAATTCTAGAGGGCACTATTTTCTACTTCTTTATATAACTTAGTTTATGAAGTGCATCCAAGATTTAGTTTTAGTTACTGGATGTGCGTAATTAACTGGATGTTTTTTATAATAAAGCATGATGCTGCTTTTTTATTCTGAATTCCACTTTTGCCAGAATCACTGTTGCTATATCAAAGTTATGTTGCCTCTAGTACTCACATGCAACATGTACAAATGTGCAACAATTACCCCACTATTGCGTTGTGACTATGCAGTGCTGCACATGGGACTAGCTCTAACAAATGACTTAAACTGGCCAAAATGCACCAATTGTTATGAAGGAATAATAATACTTGTCTTGAAATGTAATACACAAAGAGTTATCTTTTTCATTATTAATAGTTCAGCTAATAAGAAAATTATGTAGAGGGCTGAACGTAAACGTGTATCTTCCTCAGACTGCATTGATGATGATAACACAGTGTGGTAACTAACCCCTATGCTATATGCCACTTAAAATAATGACAACAAGTGGATTTCAACCTACAGCTTCTTGACCTTGTAGGGAACATAGCAGAAATATTAACTTAGTTTTGCCTCCTCTGCTCTGAAACACTTCAGAAGTACTTCTGAAGGCATTTTTTGAACCAGGCACAACTCTTTTCAATGTGTTAACATGAATGTGCACTTAAGACAAGGAGGCATACTATATACACAGAATATAAAAAGGACATGGTATAAGTATCTTTCAACACCAACATAGCAAATGTAAATTCGAATGTCCAATTGTAAAAGAGAAACATTGTCATGCACTATTTCTATCCAGTTAGATAAGAACTTGTCACTGTTGTCTTAATATAAAGGAACTATAATCAAATTCTGCAACATCGTGTGATGAAATACATTTCTGCTGGAATTTGTGCACTTATTGTCATTTTTACACAAGGTACTTGAAAAGCATTTTATCTGATTCACTTACACATACAAAATCTAAATATCTAAACATTACTTTTTATTCCAAAGACACTCCTGAAGCCCCTTGCATTCTTAAAAATAATGTGTATACATCCTTTCTTTATTCGGCTGCTGTGGGTTCTGCCAACATTAGCCCTCATAACCTCAATGCAATGATTAAAGTTGACTCATTTTTATATCATTCACACCACAAACAACTTGATTTTGTAGCACCAGGACTTGCATTAGAAACTGAATCACTGTGGAAATCTGCACATACTGCATTTTTTCTTAAAAGGTACTCTCACGTCTTTTACCTTTTGATCTTACATGTCATTTGGTGATGATTTGTTCCACACAATATATACATTTTTTTTGCCTGCAAGCAGCACCTGTCAATGTTTATAAAGAAAAGCATATGAGATCAGAAATATTCTGAGCATGTCTGGTGGAGCACAGCATGGCATTTAGATTAAAAAAAAACATTAAACAGAAGTATCACATGTACAGAGAAACATTTAGAAATGCAACAAATGCTATCCATTCCAAAATTTATTTGTTGCATTTTAATGCCAATCAATATAAAAAGAGTGCCACATATTGCTGAATAATTTGCACTTTGGATTCACATTAGCATGAGCTATGCATACTATTATCTTGTAAAAGCGAGACATTATTTTCTCTGAGCCTTTTTCAGAACTTTTTCATATATCCATTAAAAGGTCTTTAACATTTTTAGATCAGTAAATGTAAGATGAGTTATATTAGATTATTAGATATTAATTTATACTGATGCTGAGAAACTGCAAAAAGGTTTGAT